ACATAACTGAGAGCTCACGAGAAGAAAACAACTGGTATGATGAAAGGAGTCCCATCTAGTGGGGAATGTGAGCAAAAAACTAATTCTATATTTTTTACCTGAGATGCAGCACCAAAAAATGTGAGTTAGGTAAACCTTTGACTAAACTCAGAAGTTTGAGTTAGATGAACTCTAGTGCCCTCAAATTGAATTAACTCAAGAAAAGCTTTGCAATCAGTTACCTAATAATTTTAAGTTGAGCTGACTTTCAGTTGCACTGACCAAGAAAGACTGCATTTGTGGACAGGTCAATTGGCCTTATCAAGTTAATTGTTACATGCAAGGTGTACTGAATTTGTCTTTGTCAATGTTTCATGTTCATACTTGAGTAGCAGAGAATAATGCCTTCATTTTGTGTGCGCTTGTCAAAGGATTTTCAAACTCTACAGGCTGGATCAGGATGAGTCAAAACGGAAGGGGGGGGTTACTGAAAGGACTTTGTATTGTATAGCAGAGAGACAGGGAGAACCTGAGAAAGAGAATAAAAAGGAGACTGAAAAGAGATGAAAAAAGGACACTTGCTCTCAGAGCTGAGTACTAAACTCTTCTCCTGCTTCAGACGGAGAGCCGGGCTGGTATACCCAAGTTAATGGCAGTGATGAAGAGCCTCATCAGTCTGCCTGTTGGAGCACACACCACCTGCGCTCCACTCTTCCAGTCTCTGCTAATGCTGCAGAGAGAGAGAGAGAGATAGAGGAAGAAGAAGCAGAATTGAAAGAGAATGTGAGCGTGTATGTGTTGTATGTTTCAGAAAAAAAAATGTTTTTGAAAAATGATGTAAAATTCATTTTAAAAAATTATGAAAAGTTCTATACTCTTTAATATATTTTCTACTACATTTTTGAATATTAAAGGACGTATCCACCTCATTTTTATGCCCTGTGATGCTTTGAGTTGTTTGTGGCCAAAGCTCATCTGTTGCTGCACAGTTTGTGTTAGTCATCCTCTAGTCCTTCATCAGTAAACACAGACTGCAAACTGCAAACTTTATTTTGTAATGATTATTTTATTGCAGATATTGCACAAGTACACACTTCAAAACTTGACATTCAGACCATATATTTAAAGTTTATTCTTTTTTAAATACAATATTGTGATAATATCATAAACTATGCTACAAAGTTGGGTAATTATCATGATTATATATATATATATATATATTATATATATATATATATATATATATATATATATATATGCGCATATATAATCAGCACAATGTTAAAAGATACGTAGATGATATCACTGTGTTATTATGTGTGGCAAGTAAATTCTTTAGCTATATTTAAGCCACTGTTCTTTCCATAGAAAAATGAATCATGATTTCAAAACAGTATCTTGTTGGATCTGTCCTGCACGCTAATTGTTATGAGTGGCTTTTTTCAAACATTTCCTGATGACATCTGTAAAACACAGTTCAAAAACAGGTAGAGACAGATTTCCAGAGCAGTCCAGCCATGTGCCAAGGCCTGGCACATCTGTGGGCAGTCGGGGATGAGGTGGCACCAGAGAGTGTGGCTTTGAAGTGCTCTAAGGTTGCCAAGATTAGCAGGCCCCTGCCTTTGAGGTGCAGCTATCTTTCACCCGCTGTTTGTAAACAAGGGCTCTTGAAGTACGAGGCTCATCATGAGGGTGATAGGAGGGATATAGGGGTGACCAAGATGTGAACCAGCATTAATCACATACATACATCACACGAGTGCTGCCACTAGTGCAAGACACATGGTACAGCATGATGGTTAGATAGGGAACAGTGGAAGGCCAAATGTGAAAGGTCATACTAACCATGAGGGTAAAGCTGGGCTTTGGTTCTGGGACATTGTGGAAATGCATTATGTGGATTTATAACACGGCTTATTATAAATGAACTGTAGTAATAATACAGGAATTTCTACAGCATTCCTATTATGAGTCTTTACAGTTACTACACTCTATACAGTCATATACAAAAGTGTGACCCCTTGTCAAATGACATATTTTGTTGATTTGTAAGTGAAAATAAGTTAACACATTCCCTACATATGCTTTTCTGCTAATTTTAGTGCAGAATTGTAGTGCATTTTCTGAGTTTTGAGTCATGTTGGAAAAAAAGATTAATAAAATGTGCCATAACTTTTGCATTTTTTCCCAGTATGTTAAACTCAGCAAATAAACAGTAATTGGCACCCAAACTTTGGCATATAATTATAAGTATTATCAGATACTATAAGACAGTACTACATAAATATTATACAGAGGTGAAAATATTCTATATCATTATATATGTATTATACAGTGCTGTAGAACTCATGGGCTGGTTACACCAGCTATATGTTCATATTGTTACCCAGATAACAGACAGTTCAAAACAAACCCAAGTATGTGGCCCACAAGTGACAAGTGACAAATTTTACTTACTGAGAAGCTGTCTGTAAGCGTACCAAGTTGAGGTTCACACATTACTAAATAAAACTGGGCTGCACCACCAAACTAGTTTTTGCATTGAGGTAGTAGCTACTAAACATTTATACCTAAACAGGTGTGCGTGTTGGTATAACTAGCACAAAAAAGAAAAAAACATGACCTCATTACAATAGATTACAGATCCAAACATAAATTTGTACAAAAGGAAAAAATCCCCCATGGAATGCAAAATGACAGACCAAGTCGCTGTGTTTCCATTTCAGCAAATTTATTGATTATTGGTCCATAAAGAAATTGTTTGGTGAAAAAAAATTGTTTTATTAACAGAAATTGCCACTTACCCCAGATCAGCCAGGACATGTTTGATGTCCAAATTTTGCTTCTTTAGTTTAGAACTGGCGAAGCTAATATTACTAACAAACAGTTGAACTTCATAATAATCAAAATAGCCCAAATCGTTTCTGTAAAAAAAAACCCAACATGTCTTTCAGCCTCATCAAAGTACATCCAAGTCTTCATTAGGGTGGTGCAGATTTGCCTATGTGGTTAAGGGCACAGTAAGACTTAGTGAAATGTAATTTGATAGGGTTTAGAAGTTTTCAGGAGGTATTTTTTTAGAGACAATTTGAGATGAATTAAGTTTTGTAGCATTGCAGCTCCAGTTCTAAACTAAAGAAGCAAAATTTGGTCTCCAAAAGTATCTTGGCTGATTGATAACATCTGAAATAAGTGGAAAATTGGGTACATTTTTGTTCTCTAACCATTACTTTAATTTGTCATAGTTGTGTTAAAGCATCAGGCTTTAGCATTCGTCGCTGTGTATGCATCAGTTAGTTGTTAACAGCTAAAACTTGGGGATCTCCCCTTTTCACCTCTCATTGGTTGTTAGCAGCTCAACACAGAGTTACTGTAAATCACACATTAGAGAGCCAACAATGTCCTAGTTAATCAGAATTATGGGGGGAAAATGTTTTGATTACATTAAAGCTGCACTATGTATAATTTGGGGATTTGGAGACCACTCTGGTGGAAATGTGGAACTGCATACAACGAGCAAAACAAATCACACTCATCCCCGACAGGTTGATTCTGATGATTGCATTAGTATAATTTTAATTTACTATTTGAGACCTAAACATCAAACCAGACCTTCTTTTTGAGCCTGCATGTGTAATGTTAATGCATAAAGACGTATGACATAATTTGATAAAATTGCTGCAAAATCAAACCCAATGCCTCTGACTTTTAAATAATTATTTCAAGCTTTACAGGGTGATTCGCAGCACCGCACACTTTTTTCCTCCTGCCTCAATAACCCTACTTCTTTCCACTTGAACAAAAAATCTGCCAAAATTTTACATAGTCCTACTTTAAATAAAATTAGCTTATTTCCATTCTGTTGGTGGACTGGCAGTAAGAGACTACATAAAATGATAATGGACTTACAAGTTTACACAAAAAATTCTGCATGACTTGTACAACCCAGTCCTTATCTCTTTCTTAATGTTTGACACTTCTGTAAGGGGTTTTAGACCCAATATAGTCCAGTAGGCTGCATTTGAAATATCTGAATCTGATGTACTTAAGACCATACTAGCTGGTCAAAAATCAATACTAAGGTATTGTAGTGGACAGCAAGCATCGTTCAAATGTCAGACTTGATGGATTTGCTCATAATACACGCACCATTTCTCAAGTTCTACAACATTTGTTTATCTACACAATACATCTAGAGAAATCTCTCTGCAGAGAGAACATGAAAGAAAGGTACACGTGTGCGTGTTTGTATGGCTCCATGATGCCGTGGCACCTTGTCTTCTGTTTTCAGTGTGAAGGCTGTGTGAAGAGATACTGTCAGCAACGTATATTACTGGCATCATTCTCTCTTTTTCTCTCTCTTATTCTCTCTTATTATCCTTTCATCCTTTCTGTGACCCCTCTATCCTTTTGCCTGTCTCTATATCGCTATTTCCTATTTGTGCACCCACGCACACATGCGCACGCCAGAGCAGCGGAGGTCTATGCCTCCAGGCTCTTCTGAAGATGGAGATTAAAAGCAATCTGTTGACAAACCGCCAGACTAATTGTCTGTGATTATCCTTGATCCCTCCCTGACAGAAGAACATCCCCTACTCGATTGTCCATGCCTGTGAACTGTGTCACTCTCTTTCTCTGAAGCCTTAAAAGCGCTCAATCACAAAGCCCTTCATTATATGCTTGTAGGTGATCTGCTTTTCACTTCCCACTGGTGTATGCTGAATAAACAGAGAGCTCTTCTAGTTTGGCAGCTAAAAAGCTTTGAGGCCTTAAGAGTTTGTTTAACGCTTTCTTCGCTTATGCAGTTCTCACAACAGTCGATATTTGCTATTTATTAAATTACACTTAAGTCAAGCTCACGCCATGTATATTCAGACAACCACTATTTGTAATATTTTAAGGCTTTAATTACAGATCAAAAGAGAGAATACTGGGCATCCATTCTGAACGACTTGGTGTCACACTTCATTTGCTGTCCATTAGATTTAAAATAATAAACAAAGGAAACATCAAAACAGGTTCATGATTCTTACATCCACTCTTAATTTACAAACAAAAAATTAAATTTCTGTTTTTTTCCCCCCACAGACAACAGCTATAACCAACTTTGGCTTTAACACACAAGTTAAAAATATCCTGAAATGTCTTGTTCTGCAGATTTCATCAGATACGGATCAGGCGTCTACAAGAATATCTTTTCAGCTACAACATTTCAATAGTTCTAAAGCTCAAATACTGCTTATAAATAAGTACACATATTTACAGAACTGAAGGTGTGAAGTGTGAAAATCATTGTTTGTTTTCACCCTAATGTTCTTTGGCCCATTGAGATACGATCAGGAAAACAATCTTTGGCTCCTTTCGGTAAAACTTTCTCACCCTCTGGTCTCCTTTCTCTTGATGACTTGCTTGGCACTAATAGCTTTGAATCAGTACTCTCCGCCCTCGTACCTGTACGGATGTGTCACTCTCTCAGGATAGCTGTTGGAACTGTAGCTGCTGTAGCGGTAGCCCTCAAAGTTCTCTGCCCTTTCGATTTTGGCAGGGAGCGCGTCCTGGTAGGACAGGGCCGTTTTGATCACCCCAGAATCTTCAGGAATCTTCAGGTCAGAGTAGGAAGTGGGTGAAGACTCCTCAAGAAGAGTGTTACAGTTAGACAGGCCCTTCACGTCGTATATGTTTTCCCCGTATTTCACCACAGAAGGCTTGGGGCAGGGTTGGTAAGACACTTTAGTGGTGGTGGTTATGATGGTCTGGAGGGCTGTAGGGGTGGTAGGGGCAGGTCCTGTGTACCTGCATGGGTACTCGCTGTTGTAGTAGTGGTTGGCATTGGCCGGAAGCTGAGGGTATTCCCCTCTTTCCCCGTATGGCCCTTTGCCTAAGATTTGCTTCCAGCTGTGATGCTTGGCAGTGGCATCTGGGAAAGACCTGTCTTGGTGCGGAAGCTGTGGCGTCGTGCTCAGGCCAGGGGTGCTTTTGTTGAGTTCAGCCTCACTCTGAGGGCTGGCAGGGTCCTTATACAGTGCTGTGGGGTAAGGGCTAGAGCCCAGGTAGCCCGGAACCGCAAAGTCGTATCCACAAGGTGGCCGAGCCATGTACAGCCGGTGGTTAGCAGGTTTCTGCAATGGGCTTGGAGTGTCAGCCATGGTGGCAGCACCATGGGCATCATAGGGGAACTTGTAGGGGTTCTCAGGGTTCTGGAATGGCGGATAGTGCTGCGTCTGGATAGGAAAGTTAGACTCAGCGATGATGCTGAAGCGGTCCGGCGCCTCCATGGTCAACTGGTGGATGTTCGGGAAAGGCATGTCGTGGAAGCGGCCAGGCTGAGAAGAAGCAGAAGAAGGTTCATTAGGCCACAAAGCCTCTTCAGATAGAGATACAGCTTCATTGCTCATAGAGGTTTAATTTAACATCTCTTACAGGTAGAGATACAGGGCACATCAGAAAAAATCCTGTACAAAGGTATTTTAGTTGGTCAATATATGTTTAAATGAACACTTCCATTAAATATCATCACTGTCCCAAAATACGTCTCCATTTTTATTTTACATCATTTTAATACGGCAACTGCTTACATAGTCTGAAATTTTCATCATGGATCAATAAAAATGATTGTAAAAAGACTGTATTTAAAGTAACACATTCACTTGCATTAAATGCTGAGAACATCTTGCCCTTCCCTGTAAAGTTACTGTTCTGTTTTTTCCTTTTTACAGTGACTATATGGAAACGGTATATATGGCATTATATGGTCTTAGCCATAGAAGAAAACTACCTACAAACACTATTTAATATATAGATAATAAATATATGAAACTTTAGAAAAATAGGTTCTTACATAAAATAGCACCACTATCAGGAATGTACAGTGGAACACAGCCAAAAACACTGGTTCAAAAATTTTGAGCAATGGTTCATTGATGAATCAGATTTACACAATTTGACCCATCTGCCGAACTTAGGTGATCAGTCTAAATGTTTTATGTCCAAAGTTTCCTTCTTTAATTTTGCACCAAAGTTATGAAGGCTAATATAGATAAAAAGTAATGAAAGTCTATGTCACGTAAAATCTGACTTGATTGAGCTTGACTGCAAAATTAAAAAGGCAAACTTCAGACAACAAACACATCTTGGTCAGTCATTCATGTTTGGGGTACTGGTCAAATTGTGTGAATTCCTTTTTTCATGTAACTATTCCTTTAACATTAGGTTCTTAACTTTAACAATTAACATGTATGAGTTCTAATCTTTTTTTTCTTTAAATGTTTAAAGGCTGGTGCTGACCTTCTTTGCATTTGTGCATTTTTATTTCCTTAACGTAAGTAAAGCAACTGGTCACAGCACAGTCAGCATTTGAAACATGTTTACAGTAAATATTTGTGTGATGAATGTGTTGATGGTGGCTGGTTGTTATGGCACAGCAGAAATAGACAGGAAGTTCCAGTTTCATTCTGATCTGCTCCGAGTCAAGGACTCTAGAATTGTGTACTAATATTGTGTACTAAGAATATGATACTACAGACAGCGGAATATTTTAGATAATAATTTTTTTGGGGAAAGAGCACTGTATGCTGTTGAGCATCTATGCTACCATATAACTTTACTAGGTTTACTCACCTCCTGAGCAAATGGTCGTTTGGTATTCTTATGCTCACACAACCATGTTCACACTAATTTAGAAATACAATTAAGTATACAAGAAATACAATAAATGTATTGTACCTCTGGCTCCATGAGTCTTCTTTTCTGAGTGAAGTGAGGGGAGGACATCCTTCTCTTTACTGCGCTCCTCCTTGCCTCTGTCTCTGACTTGCTCTCAGGTCTAGGGTGGTCGTGTACACCTTTAGCCTGAAACACACGTCAAACCATGAAACATACACTGTTTGCATTTTTATCTATTCACTGTATCATGCATACACCTATACAGCCTGAAAGTGAGCTGTTAAGCCAATTTGAAACTGATACTGTAATTTATGATGCCGTTTGTAGTTTCAGAATGTCTAATTAGGCATGTTCACATGATCACGTGCCCAAAATGGAAATGAGCGTGTGGCACTCCAGCCAAACACTGCCATTGATAATACAGTCTACCACAATAAACAGAATTTATTTTTAATATTTTTATTTTAAAAAGGTTGAATATTTTTTATTCACAACTTCATCAGTAAGACATTTTACTTTGTTTTTATTTTTTAAAATCTCCCATTTGTACACATAAAAAAGGTCATTTTTAAGCATGACAGTCACTAATTAGGCACACTGATGTTATCAGGTGCCCAAAATGAAAATGAGCACGTGACACTCCAGCCAAAAACTGCCATCAGATAATATAAACCACATACTACTATACGACACATACTAAACTACTGAATAGCCTTCTATTGGTGTTTTTGACATACTGTTTAATTTGGTAGTGTATGGTTTTGGATGCAGCCATAATCTACCCTACTGATAGAATTTATTTTTCATTTATTTATTTTAAAAAGGTTGGGATATTTTTATTTACTACTTCCTTAGTGAGACATTCAATTGTCGTTTTAATTCGTTTTTTATTTTTTTTTAATTTTCCAATATGCAGACAAATAAAATTTTTCTTTTGTTTGTTTTATAGTCACTAATTAGGCACGTTGATGTAATGACGTGCCCAAAATGAAATTGAGCACGTGACACTCGAACTAAACAATCAAATAATACAGCTTACACAATTAACAGAACTTAAAAGTTTGGGATTTTTTTTTCACGATCTTGCCATAAAAAATCATTGTCATTAAAAATCTCCAGCAAATGTACCTATAAAAAGATAATTTATTAGTTTGAAAGTCACGTTCATGTGATCAAATGAAATGAAACTCCCAATCAACTAATAGAGCCTGCAATAAACATAATGTAAACAATTACTTTAAACGTTATATTTTGTCACAACTTTGTAAGATAATTATTTGTCTTTTTATTTTATATTTATGTATTTTTTTATCTCAGACCTATAGACTTTTTTTAACATCAGACCTACCGAAAGGGGACTGTTAGAATATTCTGACAACAACACACACACATACAGATTTCATCTGGGAATTTTAGACTATAAGAGAGAGCACCAAAATGTTGATATTTTTCAGATATGCAGTGGGCTAAACAGGACACCCACCTGGAAAAAGATGGCCTTGCCGTCCACTCTCCAGAAGTTGGTAACGGGATAGCCGCTATGTCCTCGACACGGCACGAGCTCAAGAGCTGAGCTGCAGTTTGGACACAGTTTTTCTGACGATGAGAAAAGAATCACCACATTCGTTATAAAGCCGTGATCTTACAGTCAGAGTAAATTAGTCATTAGTGAGCTTATTTCCATCAGCTTTTCAGTCGTTTAATACCACAATTAACATTATTTTACATATAACAGCTTAAATGAACCAAACTCATAGCAAGACATTTATGTACGAAAGACTTCGAGTTTATTGAAACTATGGTTCATAATAACAAGACACAGATAATAATGTTGGCTGTGTCCGAAACTGAAGGCAGCTGTCTCTCAAGGCAGCAGCGGTGTGATGAAGGTACCTGCAGCCGCATCGCCTTTGATACGTCAAGTTGTTATCAAGATACCGACAGACGTTAGCGTTAGTCGTTATAGCTTTTCTTACCCTGAAAAAAAGTCTTTCAAGAAGGCTAGCATGCTGAACCTTTTACAGCCAGAAAGGATTTTTTATTTGTACACAAATCAGTCTTTCTCCTTCACTGTATCAGTGCTGGTGTCTTCTGCTATGTTTTCCTAAGCGCATCGGTCCTGACACGGAGGATTATGGTATTTTTAGGACAGCAAATGATAAATCTACACTGCCTTCAAAAAACCGCCCGAACTGAGGAACCTCAGCAAAAGCGTTTTATACAAACATTAGATTCAGACATGACTGAGTGCCCTCCTGTCTAAGCAGGCAGCGTTTATTACACTTCAGACACGGCCTTAATCTGAGCAGCACTGGCCAATCAAGGGAGGTGAAGTCACAAACAATTATATAAAGAACGTTTTAATTAAATACTTTTATTTCGTTCATCGTTGTTTTTAAAAGATCGAGGCAAAGCTACACAGCTGAGTTTACTGCGCTTTAGCGAAAATCTACCTAGCGTTTCAACTAACTGCACATCTTTCTCAGGAAATGTGAGTACAGGAAAAATGAGACTCGTCTATTTTAACAGATTTTGTGACATACTGAGTTAAATGGGCCTAAATGTTTAAAGTAGCGCAAAATGTGTCGTCTTGACTGGACACATAGACGTATACGTGTGTAGTAAGCGCTTAAATTTACTAAGTGTAATGCAATGAATTACGTTTTTCCAATTTTCAAATGATAGTTTCTTAAGTATATTTATGAGGAAAATAGTGTACTTTTTATTCAGTTCCAGTGCAGTGCAGACTCTTCTGACGTATATTCATTTTACTCCGTTTTCATTTAGGGAGGCTATTTTTACTTCAACTTGAGTCATTATTTAACTGAATATAAATATATATAAAATGTCTGAGTCTGAGACCACCAAATAAACAACTGAAAGGTTTAAGATCTTGCAAAATGTAAAACAAAGGAAAGTTTGGACGATAAAATGAAGAAATATTTGAAATTCTGCACTATTTCTAGGTCGCTGCTCAAACGGGAGCACATTTGTGAAACTCGTGTAAAGGCCTTTGTACAAAACGGTCATAACTTATTTTTAATCTTATTCCGTCCATTTGAAACACATGCTCAGATAAATCTCTGGTGGATTCGATCTATTGATCAGAGGCTTTTGCACAAGTTCATGCCAGCTTGAGTGCACACTGTCGTTAAAAGGGGACACACACCAAATACTACGAATTTTTGAAAAGAATGTAAACATTCTGGGATTCTTCTTTTCACTCAAATTGGTATGCTGATCATTTCAGTAAAACATTGTATTAAATTAGAAAGGAACGCAAAATCGAAGTATTTTCTGTGGTCTTTTGGACCCCACAAAAGTTAAGACTCTGCGCCTCAGACACGATGGACAAAGTCGATCTGGTTTCCCACCAGACCCACTAGTGCTAAATAAATAGAGATGTGCTGATGTTTGGGACTCACTCTGCTGCTTCTGGCGGGCTTTATCGCAGATGGCGGGCCGCAGCTGCAGTTTGGTGCCGTCTGCCAGCGTGCAGCCCCGCGCGCACACCACCACGCCCAGACACGACTTCTTGAGGATCTGGCAGTTGTGGTTGTTGGTGTTGCGCATGGCCCAGCCGCTCAGGTGCCGCTGCGCGTTTTTATCCTCCCCGCTGTAGATGTAGCGCACGTAGCCATCCGTCCACTCCTGGAAGGCGTCGAACTGCTTAGTGTCCTGAGGAAGAAAAAGAGAAGAACGGACACTTTTACACACGTCCCAAAGAGCACACTGAACCCTTACAGGATTAAACACCTCGTTGAATGAACACATTACCTACAGTGTTAAACTGTACATTTCAGGTGCAGATGCTGTCGCTGGGGTGGTACCTTCAAGGGTACATTTTCAGTACCTTTAGTTAGGGAACATAATTGTACAGTAATATGTTTACGTTGCTCTGACTGACTCTGTTTTTGACTTTGGCTTTTATTCTGTTTTTCTGCATAAACTGATGAAAAGGTACAAACACGCCCCATTCTCCCAGGGGATGTGAATGTAGTGTACTTTTAAAGCTCTTAATATCTAAAGGACCATGTTGTACCTTTGAGGAACTTTGTTTGGTTCTTGGTGGACTAAAAGTACCTGGGCTGTACAGTGTATGGTGGAGAATTAAAGTGTTCATTTGTGCCCATTTGGGCTTGTTCGAACACTCAATAGTGCTTATTCAACACTGCATACTCTTTCTAAATAATTCTTTGATTGGACGTATGGTTCCAGGAGAAACCTGTAATTGGTGTGGAACCTGTTTGTGGAGGCTCTTTAAACTTGAAAAAAGTTCTTCACCCTTGCATAAATGTGGAACAGTCCGCCGAACGGTTCTTTAGAGGAACCAAAAGCGGTTTATCTATACCATGGTGACAAAGAACAGTTCTACACCTTTATTCTTCATATTCTTCTTCATTCTATATCATGTAGCCTATTTAACCATTTAGGCCTGTATGTTAATTCATCACCGCATCATTCATTGCTGTGTATTCAAAAAAAACTGTGTTAATTAAACTGCTAGTTAAAAGTTTTTAGCCTTTTAGCTAGAAAAAATATTTGTAAATCACCAATACATTTATTGTTAGCACTCTTTTAACATATTTTATGTTAAGCCACATAGCAAACAAATTACATCTCTAACACAGCATGTGTACTTAGATTATCTTCACTGTCTGTGTTGCATAAAATATTCTGGCTGTGTTACAACACCAAAATATGTGTCCTGAACTCAAAGATGTGTTCAAAAGTAATGGACTGTGTTTTGAGAAAGAAACTTCAATGTGTCAATTCTACACTATGGGCTGGTTCACCAGACAGGGATTAACCCTAGTCTTGTACTACACTTTGCTTTTAATGGAAAATCTCAGTTAAGACTGCTTTGTAGTGCAGGACTAGGCTTAATGCCTGTCCAGGAAACTTAAGTTTTTCCCACATGAAAGGTATATATTTGCACCTGTCCCCTGGAAAAAAGGTATTTAAAGTACACAGTTGAACCTTAAAACCATCATTGTACCTTTGAGGGTACATTTGCATTGTTTACTTTGATGAATGAAGTGTACTTACGCTGTACCTTTTTTCTGACAGTGTAGCAGTATGTCTTATATTGACAAGATAAGTCTCAAACACTGCTGATTAGCACTGATGATTTTAGACATTGTAAATCTTCAAACAAAGAACGACAACATTGAAGAAATTGATCCAGAATGTCATAAAAGAGTCTGTTTTATACACTTTCTAGGACAGATTCAGTATGATGAGATATCATTGAGTAATACAACACACTATAGAACTGCTATTAATTTACTGAATTTCCCTCATCATTTACTTTTGTAATTGAATTAGCCTACTTTACAACAGCTCATTTTTACATTTAGAAAGAATACAGCAGATGTTACTCATCAATAGAATGAACAGTTTGCCATATGTCATATGCTACACTCTCAGAAAAAAAGGTACAAAACTGTTACTGGGGCAGTACCCCTCTTGTCACTGGAGTGGTACCTTCAAAGGGTACATCCCAGTACCTTTAGTCAGGGAACATAATTGTACCACAAGACAATTATGGAATTACATTTTCTAAGTTGTGTTGACTCCGCACACTCCGTCTAGCCTCCAGGCTTTAGGTTATGAAAAGGTACAAATACGCACTTTCCGCCTGGGAAAACCTTATTTAAGGTACACAACATGACCTGACAACCACCGTTGTGCCTTTGAGGGTACATTTACACTGTTTGTACTTTAAAGAACGAAAAATTTACCTGTACAGTACCTTTATTTCTAACAGTGTACATGATGTAATGTCATATAAAAAGTCCAATAGCAAGAGGCAGATGGACTTGAAAAAGAGGAACATCAATCCCTCATTTGAATACAAAACACACTGGATATTTCCCGTAAAGAAAATAGCCTATTATTAGCCCTGCGTTTCCTTTAGGAGAAAACGGTAGAAGTATGTGAGGCGTCGTGTTGACAGAGAGACTCAATCACTGCATGTATTTACTGAAGCTGTTACGGTGTGAGTCAATACGGCTTAAAATATTTACCTGGGGAAGTTTGGGGTCGTTGATGTCCCACGTGAGCTTCATTCCGAACGAGCACACACAGTCCGAGCTGTCAAACTGATCTGCCTGTTTGGACATTTTGCGCAAAAACTGAAGCGTTCAGAGCTCGTGTCAGGCGCCTGTTTGAATTCAGCTCCGAAACATAGCAATCATCAACCGACACAGGCTTGAATTCGAAATGGACTGAGTGAAAACTGTCCACATAATATTGTCCAGTAGCGTCCAGGCAGTGCTCCTAGTCTTCTGAAGGCATGGCGCAAAAAACCGTGCGCTGTGCCGCAGGTGCGCTCTGAGAGCTGGGCGGTGCCGAATGAGCTCAGGTAGGAGCTGAGGTGGGTGTAGACTAGAGAGAGAGAGAGAGAGAGAGAGAGAGAGAGAGAGAGTGAGAGAGAGAGAGAGAGAGAGAGAGAGAAGGCAGGGCCAATGCAGCTTCACTTTCCTTCTGAACAACACAAAACGTACGGCGCACTTCGCCTTTAGCGCGATTATGCTAATTGCATTTTTGCGCCACTGCTCGGTTACTCCTCAGACAGAGGAAACCAAAACAGACATGGCTCAGAGCTATTCCAAAAACGCATTTTTTAGTTCCTAAATTGAAGGACAACAAAACGAGCCTGGCTGCTGAGGGGTCAGTGGCATCAGCGCCCAGCCAAGCGTTTATCCTGATGCCTGCAGTTTCAAAATATCAGTGTCAAAAATCAGAGCTGACCGTTGAGAATCCCACGCAGGCCTTCAGGTGTCAGCAGAAATGTCTGAGAGAGTCTCAGCAAAAGGAAGACTCACCGGGCCGGTGCGGTCCAGGCTGAAGGGTTTGCTGGAGGTCATCAGGTGTGATGTGGAAACCCAACGCCTTTCAGCAGTGCTGACACTAAACAAAACGCAGCTCGCACCGTAAACAGCAGACACTTCAGTTTCAGCCCACCTGCTCTCCTCTCCGCCATGACGTTGATAAAGCACTTGTATGTATCCCTTTGAGTTTCAGCAGTCGCTTGTGTCACCCCTATTTATTTATTTATTTATTTATTTACTTACTTACTTACTTACCTAATTTTTCCGGACTGTTTTGTCTAAAGTGAAGCGTATTTACAGATAAAGAGAAATTAGTTCACAGCAGATTTATACATATTTAGGCTTTTTTATAAAAATGAATTAAAGTAAATTAACATTTCATTCAGTGTGATATATCTGGAGAAGCTCAAGATTTGAGAAGACGAATATTGGGATGGTGGATTTATTCCAATCCTCTCTGCAGATAACGATCAACATCTTGTTCTCGTAGACATTATGTTCTAGATAAAGACGTAAAGAAACCCGGTCTGCTCAGCTGCTTCTGCTCTGTTGTTCTTTTATGAGGTTAGTCTGGTAGGTTCTCATGTGCAGTGATTCAGAAACACGTCTCTGTCCTCATTCCTTCAGCCGTCTATAAACCACCTGCTCATAAAGACGCGTCCTTCATTTGCACTGATATGCAGGCCATTACAAACAGAAAACTATGGGTCAGTTTCCCGGTCAGAGATGAAACCTGGCCTGCACCACAGTCTTACAGTGGAGAAACGCCAATCAGAATCGTTGTAGTTCAGTAGTTTCTTGTTAAAAATAAATACATTAAAAAAGCAGTAGTAGCAGTTGTTGCTGAAGTAGTCGTAATAATAATCATTAATACTGATTATGATAACAACAAGGTGCTTTTATTATTGTTATTATTATTATTATTAAAAAAAAAGTACAAATATTATTAGTAGTAATAGAAATATTGGATATAGCAGTAATAATTTATAATGATAATAAATGATGCTAATAATGACAACAAACAATGACGATGATATTAGTTGTAGTGAGTGATAATAATTTATAATGATAATGATGACAACAAATGATAATTATGGTTATGATGATGATGACGATGATGATGATTATTATTATTATTGCTTTATTTTTATATATTATTTGCCCATCTGTATTCTGGTTAAAATCTGTAAAAAATGAACCGAATGCTCTAACTGATTTTTTTTCAGTGTAGTCATCTTCTGCTCGCAGCCCTTTAGTGCAGGTTTCATGCAGGTGTTCGGAATCAACAATCAGTGTCCGGCAGACCCGCTCTCTGCAGATTAAACTGAAGGAACTCGCGCTTTGCAGGTTTCAGAATGAAATTAGACCAAAAATGACCCTGTGAAAAAAACAACCGAAAAACACAGTGAAAGTGTGCACGTGAAAAGGTGAAGTGAGGAGCAGTGTGTGTGTGAGAGAGAGAGATCTTCAGCTCGCGCGGCTATCTGCTAATGGGGCGCAGCTGTGTCAGTCCGCCTGCTCAGAGCTCGCACGTCAGAAATGAATGTAAGTTTATTTTGACAACAAATTCTATCACGTAAATGTGTTTTTGTCTGTATAAACGGCTAAACAAACCTACCGGTGATTTCTGTTTGTAGATTATTAGCGAAACAAATGAGCAGACACTGCTGAACTCTTCATTCTAAGAGCAAAACAAATCTTTTATAATCTCATGCAGATTTATTTGAATGCGTTTAACTTTTTTGTTTGTTTACGCAGCTTGCAAAAAGACTAGAGGATGCATTCTTCAGTAACAATGTTCTCTCGGCCGTTATGGTTATTCTTGAGGAGAAATCTTCCACATCTCTGGTCGACCGGCTGGACGAAGTTGCAAGCAGGGTATCTGATTTAAAGACGCCGCTGTTTATCTGTAGACTTATTTTTATCGTCCACGTGTATGTAGGCTGCATGTTTGATTGCATATTTTAAGTAAATGTTGTTGCATGGACACTGTGCAATCATCTTATAGATGAATGCAGGCACTCTTTTTAAAGTTTATTTATTGATTTATTTTTAAACCAGTGTGACACGCGTAAACAAGCTCTTCCTTGGCTTTTGTTCACACTGCTCATGTTCCCTAATTGGCCTATTGGAGAAGCAACAGAGAGCTCGCAGGTCTCCCAGTCACTTATTACTAATCCCACCTGTTTTCCGAGTCCCGCCTCCTTCCCAAAGACTGGCAAGTAGCTTTCAATCGCAAGCGAGACTTAACTATGTCTGGCCACGGGTGGAGACAAAACAGCTCTGTCTTTAATAGGCACTAAAATGTTAGGTAATTGGTTAAGGCTAAAGTCAACATCTGCTCCTGCGTTTTCTATTGTTTTTTTTCCTATTGAACAGTACGAGTAGGTTAAACGTTTTTTGTTTTCTTTTTCACAAGCTAAACCAAAAAAACTCTTCTTATTTGGTCAGCTGGCATGTCTTGAACAAGTGGGCTCGTTCTAGCGAGTTCAATAAACGGCGACAGGCGTCTAGTTCTAGTTTCGTCTTGTTTTGTTCTAGTAAAACACTGTCTGTGTTGTACCGTAGACAAAATAAGGTTTTATTATCCGCGACAGGAGGACAGTAGTCAGAGGAATTGAAGATTTCAGCTGTGGCCAACGTGTGGCGCTGTGTCTCCATCTACCACGAGGCAGACGACGCTGTGCCTTAGGCCAAGCAAGGCCATGCAAGACTTCTTTTCATGAAGGCTTAATGCATTATCCTGCTGGGAAGTGAACCGTTCGTTTTGCCTGTTTGGTAAAATTCACACAGACTCGCCGCGTTTGATAGTGATCACTGAACTGTCCAGGCGATTTACTTACAAACACGAAGTGGGCCTATAAGCTTTAGATGCCCAGTGAATCTCATGGGTAAATAAATTACTTGGTGAAAAATCCATTGTGATCCATTAGCCGAGACATATGTATCGTGTATTATGCTCTTTTCAGTTTGCAGTGGAGCTACGAGGCTAATGTAGCTAAAAAGTCACGTCACCCAATAACGCCAGACATGTCTTGGCCAGCCCACTACATGTGGGTTTATGAAAAGACTGTGTACACTTGATTTTTTTTTGCCGAACCATTCTTTTAAACTGTTAGTCATATGAGGTTTGTTTCTGTGAGGTGTTTTTTGGGACACATCTCATGTTTCTCTTCACAGGAACTACAGAAAAATGAATTCAAAAATGTTACACTCATACTGCGAGCCTTTGAACAAATCATCTCCAAAGACAAAGACTGCATCAACATACTTGTCCATCAAGGTGTCGTCATAAAGATAAGTGTCCTCTTTTTATTTGCCTCGTAGCCTTTTTACATGTCTTCCATCCGGCCCTCAAACTACTTCAGCATAGTCCAGATCCAGACATAGATGGTTAAAGAGGAACTCCACTGATTTTAAAAAGAAGCCATAATTGTTTACAGTGGTGGTGATGGGAACCAGACATCTGAAGAGTTTAATGCTTCTTAAAGCACCCTCACAGTCAGTTATTACACAAAATTGTTATGTTTTGGCCTAAAACATTTTTTAAATACACATGGTGTGAATAGGTACATGAAGAGAACTGTATGGCAAAGACATTTCACATTTACCCATCTTTTACCATTATTGTATGTAAAACTCAGAAGACACATGTATGTTCACTGAAGGTTTTGGATGGTAAATAAAATGGCTATATTTGTATTGTACACATCATGATCCCTGGTTCCTATCACCACCACTGTAAAGAAATCTGAGTCGGTACATTTCTCAAAAATGGAGCATTACACATGTCAACAACTAAAGTAGGCAGACTTTTAAAAATTGGCGGAATTCCCCTTTATGGACTGTCCACCTCAAGTGGTTAAAAAATGTAAATGATGCGCATATCATTGTATTTCATACTTGATGGTGCTGGTCTGTCTATGCCATCTATCCTTTTTTTTTTATCCCTCCATTTCTCCCCACTGATTTCATTATTCCTCAGCGTTGTGCAGTTACTAAATAACTACAAATACACTTACTAAACCTTAAAGATTTAGGGTTTTATCTCAAGAAAAAGGTGGAATCACTGCACACTCAATAAATATGTAATTTTGGTTAAAAGAACAATACACAAATTTGGATAAAAGTGTGTAGATAGTATAATATTTCCTCTGTTGCATGAAACCATATACTTTTTAAAACTCCTTGTCCTAAGTTTTAAGTTAGACAGTTCCCCTATGCCTAGTTTTCATGCTCTTGGAATGGGCTTTGGCAGGCCAGTTCAGTGATCCCTTAGAGTTAAATAATTGAAAAATAGAGCAGTAGAAAAGTAGTAGGACTAATCTGTTGTCTTCAACCATGCTTTATCTTCTTTTTGAATTACACATGCTGAATTGGTTTGAAAGGGTCTCTGAACATCTGAAGATGCAGCAGAAAGCCTCCAAGGGCCCGGTGCAGCTCATGGAAGTCTTCTATGAAGTGTCCATGGTAATGCCTTGAAGTAGAACTGTTTCCAATTTAGTCATCAAATCCTGATTGTTCTCAGCTACTTAGTTTTGTACATTCCGTTCAGGATGTCATCAGCACTGCTACTTTGACTTCATCATCTTTCTCTTTCAGAGTCTTTGCCAGAGTGATGTTGAAGGTGGGCCTTACTGAGATTTCAGTCACAGCATTATTTTTAGTGGATGCATTGTACATGATGAAGATTATTTACGATTGTGTATGTGGCAGACAACGGTAAGATTCTGGAAGTACTTCTGCTGAGGTTTGGCGCTGTTGTGATTGACCAAGAAGTGAAATTTGGTCTGCGGCTGGAGGTATGAGAGAGAGAATCTTTGGGAAACAAATATATAAATCCAAATGTATTGCCTTAGTTGCTTCTGAATTGACCAGATTAAGATTTGAAAATTAAATCTTGGTTTCTATTGACCTGCCCCAACAGGCGATTAAGACCATAAACTCAATGTTGGACAATTCTTCCAAAGAGTTTCGGAGAAAGATCTGTCAGTCTGATGATCATAACTTTCTGCTGTAAGTCACTTTATTTGACTGTTTTCTATTCGTTAATTGTCTCTGTTAATTTGGCCTACAGTATTTTGTTGCTAAAGTGACAGTCAGCCAAATCAATATTACTCATCTTGATTTAAACTGTCTAGATAGATACATTTGGAATATGATAGAGGTGTTTTATCCTCTAAGTAGTCTTAAGCAAGTATAAGCAAACATGCTGCCTCCCAGTGGAATAAAGTTTACCCTACAGCTTCAATAGCCTTACTACTTTTACACAGTACCATGTTTTCAGTTTCTCATTTTAGTGAGACTTCTTGTGCTGGTTGTTTCTTTCAGCGAGGAGTTTGCTAAGGTGATAGTAGATGTTGGTGGTAAGTCAACATTTCCATGTGTTTTGGCTAAGTAAGCCTCAGTTTAATTGCCACTTATATGGCTTATGGGCATGACATGCTTTTTGTGCCCTAATCCATTGTTTTCCCCATAAAATAATTATTTAATGACATTTTCGGGGGGGCAAAATGATAAAAATGAATGCGTACCATTATAAAAGCTAAGAAACAAATATCAGTACATTCAGTAGATTCTTGTAGATACAAAATGAATCATATCCTTTTTAATAAGAATATTTTACATGATAATTTTTAAAACCTTGTTTGTCATTGACTCGTATTTCATTTCATCAACACTTACAGCTTATGCAACCTGTGCGCGAGTTAAATGATACTGGTCGTTATGTGTGTATATACAGTCAATAAGAATGTACATTATGCTGTTGCTGCTGTGAAGATTATGAAATGCAGGTGGCCGTATCTGAGGCACTCTGTCGAATGACTCCAAAGAAACTGAGGGAAGAATTGGTTGGCAAGTGGTTTAACTATAGAAGCTTTGCATCCACTTTCACAGCAATAAGGGTCAAAGAGTTTGAAACGGTATGTTCATACAGCCACAAACCCTTGTTTTAAGAAGAATGATGGTGAAATTCAGAATGTAGTATGAATGACTTTTTGTATTTCTCCTTTATCTTTTATTGCCTTTGTGTAAAGGACTGTAGGATATTTCTAAATGAACTCAACAGCTATTTTGGAGACTCGAGAAGGTACCTGCATATTACTAGTACAGTATAATCTATTCAATATACAGTGAAGTTGTATTCTATAACCTAAATTGTTTTTTGTGAATGTGACGTTTTCCATCTCTCTAACATGCAGAGTTTTTTCATTTCCGTGCACTAGGGCATTTCTGGACTTTACTGAGGTAAGCATGAAGGTGGGAAATTAGATGACCAGTGATGTACAGAACAGTGTGTATACCGAAAGCATTTTACATTTTGTAAAAAAAAATAAATTGTACATTTCATGTGGCTCCAGTGTCCTTCATGACCTCCATTTTGTATTGCATAGTTGTTTAAACCTGAGGATGAGCTTCTGAAGGAGTTCTGGGTGGACTTCAATGTTGGGACATCCTGCATCAGCTTCTTTGTGCACGACCCAGAGGTGTGTTCAGATCCAAACAAGTTGTCTACATGTTAGATCAAAAACTTGCAAAGTACTTCACCCAGCCAAATCCAAGCCACTAGGCCTAAAATATTTTTATTTATAGCAAATTTACAGAGTTATAACTTTGAAACACTCTTTGTGTATTTTTATGAATTTCCAATTATGAGGTCTTTTTTGGACTCTGGGTATCTATCTATGGTGTTTACTTATTTGTGAACACTGGAAGGGAGTAATATATGGGAATACACTGATCTTAATATTTGTTCTTTGTTCATTATGGAACAGATCTGTATTGTTTTGTTTCTCATATATTAGGGAACTCTGTGGGAACTTATTCATCTTCCTAAAGAAGCTCTCTGCACATACAGCCTTCGAGGTGAGTCTCAATTCATCCCCATGAGGTCCACTCACTTATAATGATTATGTACCAAAATCAGTCATGTTTCTGTTATTGTGTCTTGAAGACTGACATGTACATGAGCACTGTTGTGATTGGCTGCCCTGTATTGTGTATCATTCAAAAAGCAATCTATGCTGAAACACTCCTTATAACTTAAGCATGAGTGAGTGGGACTTAACCCCTGTCGGCTAAATATGTGGATATGTGAAAATGCTTCGGTTTTGTGACATTACAAATTTCAAACAAGCTGTTTTTGCAGCTTAATTTCAGTATATGGACATTTTGAAATGTTACCAGTGTTTACATACCTAATTGAAGTCTTTTATTTATAAACATGAATAAAATTTGGTCTTTTATGATCTGGGGCCCTTTAAGGTATTTTACAAAATGTTTACTGTTCAACAGATCTTCCATAATTTTGTTGAAATTCTTGAGTGAAATAACCTTTCTCTGTCTCTCCTCTCATTAGAATGTGATGATCGGAAGCTTTTGAGTGTTCATATGAATGTTGATGTCTCTCATGGCAACACAGTCGGCAAAATGGTCCAGATTGCCTTTGACTCGAAGTATGACATCCAGACTGCAGTGGAGAAAGTCTTTGGTAGAGGAGAGGATTCGCAATTACCAGAAGACCCAAAGGTGTGTTAGCCCTACAGCTTTACAAATGTGGACAATGTGTCAGCAGCATGTGGTCGCATTACTGAGCTACAGTACTTAAGTTATATTCTTTGAGGCTTCATCATACAGTAGTAAAAGGCTTCCCCTGTTGGCAATGGGCTTTGCTACTGGAGTCAAACTACCAACATGCTATACTATGTCATAGTAAAGTAAAGAACAGCAGATGAATGCTTTGTTGATTGATGGTACCTAATTATTTTCTGAAGAGCTTACACTTTGGCAAAAATTTTGGAAAAGTTCAAAGGTTTTTCAGGTTTTTTTTTTCGATCAGTCCAGGTGGGGGATGGGTTCAAAGCCTTTACAACATCCTTTCTGTCCTGAAGGGGTGCTTGTGCATAAATATGATCTGTGTTTGGAAAAAGAAATGGCCATTTTAAGTTACTCACACACAAGTTATCACAGCTTACTGGGCTTAAATAATGAATATTTGAAGACTGTTTGCCCCTCACTTTTAATTGAAATAATAAGCAGACAAAATGTCTAGAGTGGGAGTACACAGAGCTGCCACAGCCAGTGAAGCAAGCCATCATTAGGTTGAAAAATCAAAACAAACACATTGGAAAAATAGTGAAGAAGTTGGGTGTGGCCAAATCAACTGTTTGGTACATTCTTAAAAAGAAAGAATGTACTATTGAGATCAAAAGTACCCAAAGCCTGGAAGACCACAGAAAAAAACTGGTGGATGACTGAATAATTTTCCCTGGTGAAGAAACCCCCCCCTCTTTCACTGCAGTTCAGAATATATCAAGACCTCCAGGTGGTATATCAAGACCTCCAGGTGGTAAACATGTCTGTGTGAAAGTCAACAATCAAGATAAGACTTCAACAGTGTAAATAAAGAGTGTTTACCCCAAGATGTAAACCATTTGTAGGCCTAAAAAACAGTAAGATCAGATTAGAGTTGGTCAAAAAACATCTAAAAAACACAGTACAATTCTGGAATATCTTATAAACAGATGAGAGAAAGATTTGTGCTGGAATAAAGAGAGAGTATGGAAAAGGGAAGGAACTGCTCATGATCCTAAGCATGATGATATTGTTATTTTGTAGATATGTATTCTCAGGGAATGGTTCCCTTGTATTTACTGACTGTATTGTAACTGCTGACAAAAGACAAAGATTTTTTTGCAGCAGCAAAGTCAGTCACCTTACCTCAACATGCATTTTGCTCACTGAATGCAAAACTGAAGGTAAAGCAGAACCTCAAAAACAAGCAAGAACTGATGGCAGCTGCAGGAAAGACCTGGCAGAGCATCACTGGTGAACAAAGAACCCAAGCATCTGGTGATGTCTGTGGTTTCCAGACATTAGGCTGTCACTGAGTGCAAAGAATTTGCCGTAAAGTATTTAAAAATGACAGTTTCATTTATGATTGTCCAAATATTTTTGTGGCCCTAAAATGGAAGGGGGCTATGTATAAAAATGGTTGTAATTCCTACACTGTTCACCCATTTTGGATGTAAAAGCTAAAAGTCTGCAGTTTGAGCTATTTAATTTCAACTCTCATATGCTGAAGTAGAAAGCTGAAATATTTTGTTGACATCTCGATATTTATGGACCTGACAATATGTACTTTTGTGTGATGTTTTAACCAGGAAAATATAGTAAATAATAATTAAAAAGCATGCTGAGCCCTAGGCTAACATTCTACTGGTATTTATCCTGTGAGGTACTAAATATGTGTGAAGTAAGCATTTGTTTATGGAACATCTTGTTTGCAGCATGTCGCATCAGTTTGGGAAGACTCAGGTGCGTTAAACGTGACATTATCCACAAAAATTCATATTTCGCATTGAACTTAATTGTTCAAATCATTTTGATTAATGTAACTTTTTTTTTGGTCCTGTAGGAATCCCGGTTACTCTGACTGATAGTGCACCAAAACTTTCCAGGTATTTAGTTCTTAATATTAATTATAAAGAGCATGAAGAGCCTTTTTTGTGTTACCACAATTTTCAATTTATAAATTTATATATCATGAATCACTAAAACATTGATGCTTGCCCCCCCCCCCCAGTCTTCCTGTTACAGATACTGCTGGAAGACCTCACGTAACTACCTTTTCTAGTGAAACAAGATAGGACTGATAAATTGAGTTTTTTTTCACAATGTTGTGGTGGCTTTTGTATTTCTTTGCATTTCTCCAGGTTTCCTTTGTAATTCAGAGTGGACCAAGCCACCTGCCATCACCTAAGTGAGCTTCTATCTGTATAGATATTTTTCTTACACAGAATCTATTTACAAAATGGTGTCACCAGAGCGTTTGTATGTTTTTGGTACATACAGAGTCAGAAGAATCCAAGCGGAAGACAGTTTTTGTCTAAGAATCGATTCAGACACAGAGGTAAGTTAACTGTAGTTAATACACATGCGCTCATAGCATGCACGGTATTCTGGGCAGTGTATAAAGAACCCCACTGACTTCAGCTGAATTTGAGACAGTGTTTTTTTATACCTCCCACCATTACATATTACATAATACATTATATATTGTAATACTACGATAATATTTTGGGTCCTAAATAAAATCAATCCGATCATATTTCACATTTGTAAAGCAAAAATTAAAATTAAGTCAATTGAATTAAGTAATACAAAAGTTTGACTGCCCCTGTTCAGATTAAATGTTTTGTTGATTTCTGCATTTCCAATAAGTTAACACATCCTCTACAGAGACCACACTTTTGCATGTTTAATGCATGCATGATTCCTTTTTATTTGCTAAATTGAATGAATTTAACATATTGGGGGGACACATTATGGTTCATATGGCACATTTTATGTTTTGTTTTTTCCAAAGTGTTAAACTCATCAAATAATTATGTATTTAAATCTGCAGAAAATGCTATATTTAACTTTATTCTCTGTAGAGCATGTCTTATTTTCACTTATTTTCTAAAACATGTATTTTGACCATGGAGTGTTCCAACATTTGCATGCGACTGTATGTTTATAAAGTTTAACAAATTCTAAGGGAAATATGGTAAAATAATACTCAGTGAATAAGTAAATGTGTTTGTGATGTGCATCATTTCTTATTTTGGAAACAACATATAACCATTGAAAAATAACTAAACAAATGGATAAATGAATGGTCCATACTCATCGGGGCCTCTTGTGGTGTGGGGGCCTTAAGTGCCTGCTTATTTTACTTATAGCAAGAAACAGCCCTGTTAACATACATGAATTTCATGCAGTGATCTCAAACAAGCTAAATGGGTAGCAAAAACTGGCTTTACTGTTAGACTACTCACTTTCAAATGCCTGCACACAGCATTGACTGCAAGTTCACTAAACAGTCATAATTCAAGTTTATTAAAAGTTTGACGTGCCTATGTTAAGAGCTCTGCTTCTACCGAGTGAGTGGATGTATATATGATTGCCTCAGGTGACCGTGTCAGAAACTCTGAACCACTCGTTTCTCACTGCTGTATCAGGGAAGTCTCATGACAGGGAGCCAGAGACTATTACATTCATGGCTGCTTTGTGGAGGTACCAGGTCAGTGGGGTTCAGTTATAAGTGTGGCAGAGGTCCTTAAAAGCAGTCCTTAGTGCAGACTTTTAACTGCTGGAGAGCGTGTTGCTTTGCTCAAAGTATCTGTTTTCCTTTCCTTAATATACTCTGGTTCTGGTGGACATATCCAATTCAGCCCACAAAAAAATTTACATCTACTCCTTTAACAGACTCTCTAATCCAAGTGGCTTTCAAAATACTAACAGTGGAAGCTAAATTAATGAAAAGTACTCAGAGAATCTGTGAGGATTTGACATTAAGGACAAAAACTCGAGCATAGCTTTTTATTCTCCCCAATTTAGTCGTCTCCAATTCCACCCGCTAGTTAGGACTCCCCCAATCACACGATGCTATCAACGCTGGGAGGCTAACACAGGCTTCCTCCGAGACCTGTGAAGCCAACCACCGCTTCTTTTCGAACTGCCGCTCACGCAACGTCACTGGACAGCAGAACGCGCTCGGAGGAAAGCGCCAACCGCCAGATCTGTTACGTAAGCTAACAGACGCCTGCGCTGACTAGCATCGCGCTGGGTGATGGGGGAGAGAGAGAGCGAGGCCAAATGTGCTCTCTCGAACTCCCGGCTACGGATGGCTGCAGCATCACCAGGGATCGAACTCGCGATCTCCTGATGATGGGGCCAACGCTTGGACGGTTGCGCCACTCGGGAGCCTCGAGCATAGCTTTATCTGGTTAAACAAATAAAGGTGAATCTTGGGGTAAATTCTTAAACTCTTGAGTTGGCTAGAATTGGATTAACAGCCAGGTACTATGTTGGGGGGTGTATTTGAGGACGTGAAATTTGTGCATTGTAGAGAAACATACCAACGGAGAGGTAATGATCTACAACACAAATAAAGCCATTTTATTAACCATCCAAAATGACCTGTGAACCTATGTGTCTTCTGGGTATTTACATGTAATGTTGATAATAATAAAATAGTGATACATATGAGAACTACATTTTCTTTGGGGACTATTTTGCCTCACAGCATAAATGTATTTTTAAATCATACCTCAAAACTATCACAAAACAATGTCTTGGGCATCAGGAAGCTTATTACATGAAATAGTAATGAATAACTTTGTGAGGGAGCTTTTAAAGACATTAAACGCTTCAGATGTCTGATTCCTGTCACAACCACCATGACTTTCTTTACTTGGTACTTATTTACTTATGCAGAAATTCTGAAAACTAGATGGAATTCTCTTTAAATGTATCCCTGAGGTGAGGTGAGTAAAGATACGTTTAGCTGTAGTCTGCTTTGATTTAAAATGAGCCCTTTTTATAATATACCCTCCAGGTTGCTATAGAAGTAAACAGCTTTGTTTTGAAGGAGCGAAACTGTGTGTATCTCTCTTGGGATGCATTCTCAAGTCTTCTAATTGTTTAATCTGAACTTAGAAGCCATTCCTTTAGCCCATGTTTCTTTTGAGAGATTCTCCTATTAGGTCTTCTCAAATGAAATATTTTGGAACTTTTGACTTTAATGCCTTTTTGATGTATGAGTGGAATATGAAGTTTAATGAAAGGTTAAAGTTGCTAACTGAGATCTCTGTTCTCTAGGTGGCACGGGCTAAAGCTACTATCTTCGGTCAGCCTCTTTCTTCTAATGGGTAAGGAGAATCAAACTCGAACCCATAGCAGTATCTTTTTGTATCACACAGAGGCAAAACTCAGATACCATATTTCCTCACTGTAGTTTTATGGATAGTCAGACAGTATCAGTTGTATTTGTGCAAAATCAATGGTTGAGATGAAAACATACATTCAGAGTGTTGTGAAACTTGGTGCAGGTTTATTTACGTTGGTAGTGATGGAAACCATGTGGAGGATGGTGTGGGAGATATCGGCATTTGTGACCAGTGAAATGACCAGTGAAACTATGTGTCCATTGAGTTTTATGCGATGTTAATAAAAGTAAAATAGTGGTAAACTGGGGACTGTTTAACTTTACAGTATTCTGCATTTATCTCTCTGCTACACATGTATTTTAAGAGTACATTTTAGACCAAAATCTTATCTCAAAACTTGAAACAATGTCTCAAATGTCAGGTAGTGCAATCAAACCTGGTCATGTAGTAACTGTCTGTGAAGTAGAGGTATTAGATGTCTCAGACATCTGGTTCCTTTCTCCGCTACCGTGACGATTCTCACTTGGCAAGTTTTTCTGGAAGGGTGCATTTCACATGAAACCACTGTGGATGGCTTTTTATTTTTACATGTTAACCATTTAATTAAGCAGTATTTTTTGAAAAATCTGTGAAATTTAAATGTAAAATTTTAATTATTTGCACTGGCAATATGTATTTTTCTCAGGTCTGTTAGCTCTGTTAGGTCTCTTCCTTCCACCATGAGTGAAATGAAATCTGTACAGAAGGTGAGTGAAACTGAAATCACAACTACCTTAAATGTCCCAAGCATATAATGGACTTTTTTATTAATTGTGCAGAGGAAACTAAGGCCATTTCACTCTGAGAGTGACAGCCATGCTCTAGCCAGCGAGAGGCGTTCTTCCAAAGAGACGCCTCGCCACGACTACACCAGAAAAAAGCCGCGACTGAAGAGTAAACTCAAAGGTACGTGTGCATGTCACTTTCAGTCTTCTAAGACGCCAAGATCTACACAGATGTGTTTTTGTCTTGTTTTTTCCTGTGTTCAGCTAATTATCAATATAAGGTGAGTCAAGCAAATGTTTTGTGAGATCTGCTGTTCTGTAGTCTGTGTACAGTAAATCTGACTTTTGACCTACTTTTACATACTTTTCTCCCTATAGTTCTCCCACTTTCTTCACCCAGTAGTAGCAATGAAGATGAGTACTTCAAGGTAGTCCACTTCATTTAAGCCTTAGTTGTAGCACTTGACATGTTTTTCAGCTGAAATACTCCAGAAATACTCTGGATTTCATTTACGGCATTTCTGTAGCATTTTGGTGCAATCTGGCTCAAGACTGTACACATTACTGATCAATATGGATGCATGTGTTTAATGTTATCGGTTTAAATTCCCAAGGAATCGACCCCCAAAGGTAAACTTTTGGGAAGGGAGAGGGCTGAAGATGCCTCATGGTCTCAAAGCAAAGCTAAAGTGCACAGTCTGGACACCTCCCACCCATCCAAAGAGACAACTGTGGATTCAGGCAAGTCATAAAGATTGCAAGGACAGTAGATACATGCAAGAGGGACATCTAGCCCGTCTTTATTTATAAAGCCTCTACCTCAGTCTTTGATCACTCTTAAGACCTGTTTGAAATTATAGCTTTCCGAGACATGACATGACAAAGAAAATCACTTGATTAGATAGCAGAGGGGAAAAAATGGATCTGGTCAAATCTTGTAAAAAATCTAGCCTGAAATAGTGCTCACTAACAATGTCATGTTTTCAGCTGTGTTTCTTCCAGTGAGGTAGTAGTCTTGATTGTCTACTTTTAGATGTTTGTCTTAAGTTTTAAAGCTTAGTAGTATCGGCCAATACATAAGGTTTAAATATCTGTATCTGTGGCAGAAACCAAAAATTAGTATTGTGTTATGCCTAATTTTATTTGAGAAACTCTGTAAAATTGGTTTTAGATCTGTTGGAAAATCATTAATTTATATATGTAATGCTTTTTATAATTTTTGTTGACTGATCAGATTTAAGAATTCAACTCATTTTTACTATGACTGCTTAATACCAATTATGAACATAACTGATTCAAGTTGGGTTTTATTTTTTGCCCTATCTCTCCACTCTGCAGGCTTTCAAGATAAAGTCAGTTTTGAAGACACTGTTTTTGCAGAAGATGAACCTGTTATAGTTATAGAGGTACTTTGCATTTAGCTCTATGGTGGTATGTTAAAAATCTATCAGAGTGGCAAAGTCTCTCTGCAAAACTGTTAATAGATCCTATTTCATTATTATCCTGACTCCACTGATTCATGTCAGTCTGACTTTTCCTTACCTTGCTATAGTTGCACAGAAATATGTATGCTTGGTTTAAGCATCATTAAAACATTTGTGTGTCCACATTAGAATTTTTTTTTTGTTTTTCAGGAGCAAGAAGTAAGTAAAGAACCACCACCACCTCCTCCAAGCAAAAGGCCATCAACATCTACAGGTATGTGGTTGTGCATCCTGATAGAACAGACATTAAATTTATTCATTAAACATTAAACAGTTTATTCATTCTTTAACAGCAGGAAAAAAAAAAACAGAAAACGTAGCCTCACTGACTTTTTTTTTTCTGACCATGACACAATTACGTTTGTAGTTCTATTGACGTTTTGCAAAATTCCAGAGCTGGTTAATGTCATGGAACTCTTTCATGGAAATGTAAAAACCTCTAGATTCAATTAATGCAAATGTGCAGTTCTTAAGCTGATCTTTGAGCTCCTCTTTGCCTCACTGAACGTTGGGGCAGTATACTCATGCATCCTTTTCTTGGCAAATTTTTTAAACTTGCTTTTCCTTGCTTTTCAAACTTTTTCACCCTGATTGTGCTTAATGGTAAATTCAACTACTACTCAACTACTATAGATTTTTTTATTATCATTTATTTATTTATTTATTGTAATTTTTTTTCTCATTTGAGTTGATTGCTCTTTGTTTTTACAGTCAATGGTGCTTTCACAGACACTGGGGCAAGTTACCCACCAGACCCTGGCTTTTGCACTTTATGCTGGTAACAATCTGGATGGTCCTTTTCTTCTTTGGCACAGACAACTAGGGGTGGGAATCTCTAGGCACCTCACGATTCGATTCGATTACAATTCAGAGAGCTGCAATGCGATTATAAAACAATTATCGATGCATCTCAATGCATCTTTTTTTTCTATACATGATTTCTATTTTCTTACTGTCTGAGGACTTGGTGGTTTTAAAGCAAAGTATTTGTAATGATCCATAATGCATTTACGTCCAAAATCTTTTATTAATAAAACAAATGGAAGTGATGTGGCAAGAGAACTGGAAGGCTCTCATTCACTGCTCTTGTTTGGAGAAGCTGCTGCCACTAATCTGCGATAAAATGCGCTGTTAGGGTGAAATAAGATCCAGTGGTAATGGATGTCCACGCAGCACATTATAGCTGTCCTACCCGTTTTCTTTAGTGATTTTATAACTTCGGTTTTGGTCTCGTGGTAGAGAGAGGGGGGAGGGGGGGTCACTGTGTCAATAAAATATCTTCGAGACGGGACTTGTGCAACATAGCGCGAAAGCCCTGTTTCTCAACGACTGAGAATTGGCATGCAGGTCACCTTGCAACGAGGTTTCGCCTGGCTAGTAGCGAACGAAAAAGGAAAAGAGAAAGACAGACGAACATTTGGAGATGAATGGACTTATTCGCATTTATAAGCAACATAGTTGGTTTCCTGGTACGTTAAATCTGCAACGAGAGGCTGTCAAGCACTAGTAAAAAGTTGCGAAGAAAGAGTCGTTTCTCTTTCTAATTTTCCCGTTCCACCTTAAATGGTGCCGCGTTTACCTTCGGCGCCTCAGTCAGAATTTAAGGTGGAACGGGAAAGTTCATCAAGAACCTGGCGAATGAGAAGCGACTTCAGCCTCGTAAAACAGCCGAAAGCTGAGAGACATTTTACAAGAAACTATTCAACTTTTGAGGAAAAGTTTTCTGGCGGAGATGGAAGAAAAGCGGCTGTAGCTAAAGCTTAAAGCAGAGCAAGTCCGCGTTTTCGTTTATATTGTTTAGTCTATACTAGGACATTAACACATACTGAGACATACTGGACAGTAAATGTTGTGGCTTCCAAGATGGTTTGATTTTTGTTGAAAGGACAAAATGGCTCTTCTTAACATTTGTGTTGTGACTCCTGATCTAACCTGGCTTTCAATGCAGAGGGAGCCGGTCGGATTTCTCGCTGATCCCGTTGTTTTTGTTATGTGCCGCCACAGACTGTCCAGGCGCTGCACTTCCAAGTTCCGCCCTTTGCGTTCTGTCAACATTACGTTATAAATTAAATATTTAGAAAATCGATTTTTGACGTTGAATGAATCCATTCAGAATCGTCCACGTCTGCATCGTGATGCATCTAAGAATCAATTCTTCCCCCACCCCTACAGACAACACAATGTTCATTATTTCTATAAAGAATTTAAAAGGTTGACTCGTCAGACCACAATACATGTTTCCACTGTGCATCAGTCGATTTGAGATGAGCTCATGTCCAGAGAAGTCAGAGGTGTTTCTGGTGGCTGTTGACATAAGGACTGTACTATGCACAAAGGAAGTTCTAACTTGCATTTGTGGATGTAGTGCCAGATGATGTTTAATAACGGTTTGTCAAAGCATTCCCAAGCCCATGTGTCGTTAACACTCCTGGAGAAATGCTGGTTTGTAAGTGTAGTGCCTGAGGGGTCGAAGGTCACAGGCATTCAGCCTTGCCCATAATGACAGATATTTCCCCAGATTCCTTGAAACTTTTGATAGTATTACGCACTGTAGAGAATGAAATACCTAAAATCCTTGCAGTGCCTCATTGAGAAATGCTATTTTTAAGCTGTTGGATTTTGGACTATGGCCTGAAAAATGAATAACTTGTACTAAATGGCTGTTTTGACTGGAAATTAAATAGCAATCGCAGTACTGTGTTTTACAGTTTATCTGCAGACATCTTTTGATGTGATTGACTTATCATAAACAGAGTTGCCTGTGGGTTCAGAAGTGACTGAGACGCAGTTACAGAAGGAAGAAGAGTCTTCCTTCCTAACACTGAAACCTAGAAGACTTTTCCCTTCTACCTCGTTGGAGAGTGCTACAGGTAGGGACAAAACAGCTGGACAAGTTAACACAGTGACATACTGCCTTTTTGAAGAATTAAACATACAGCCACTAGGGGGAGACTTGAACCGTACCTTTCTGCTGAACGTTCCCCATAAACTGTCTTAAGTTCTCAAACCCACTTTAGAGTGAATGCAACTACTGCAAAATTCCTTTAAATATTCCTGAAAAGTTTTAGGAGATAGATGGGATGGCTTATAAATGAGTCTGTACCATTAAAGGAGATTGCACACAGAGAAGTGTTTATATTACTGTATTGTGCCTCAAAAAAACAGTCCAAACTGAAACACTGCTTTTATAACTTCTGCATTATAACTTCAGGCTAAACTTTTCAGGCTGAATAGGTGGATGCATGTAAAAGTTGGTTGTTCTGACATCACAATAACAGTTCATTCAAAATGGTCTGTTTTTTTGCCTCTTAGTTTTCATATATGGACTGTATATACTGTATGTTTTGAAACTTTAACAGTGTTTGCATACTACAGCAAACTCATTTCAAAAAAGGGAAGAAAATCCATTTTTCCATGACCTGGGCCTTTGAAATAAAGAATCTACAGTATTGAAAGTTACAGTATTGGTTGCCATTACAATATTACATTTACATTTACAGCATTTAGCAGATGCTCTTATTCAGAGCGACTTACAAAAAGTGCTTTGTCTATCCAGAGAAAGTATCTTTGCTAGTTACCAATAGGTTTGCTAGAAAGCCAGTCCTGAGCTCAGATACTGCTAGAATCAGAAAGTCATTATTGACACCTAGAGAAAAAGGAACAGAGTTAAACACAGAGCAGTGCAATACAATATATAAGTGCAGTACAATACATTATAATCAATACTTAATTCAGTGCTCATTTAAGTGCTGTATAAAGAGATGTGTCTTCAGTCTGCGTTTGAAGACAGCGAGAGACTCTGCTGTACGGACAGCCAGTGGGAGTTCGTTCCACCACCTGGGTGCCAGCACAGAGAACAGTCTTGATGCTTGCCTTCCGCGCACCTTGAAGGATGGCGGGTCAAGCCGAGCTGTACTCGAAGCTTGAAGGGCTTGTGGAACAGCTCGTGATTTCACCATTGCCATCAAGTAGGGAGGGGCTGGTCCATTTTTGGCTTTGTAGGCAAGCATAAGGGTTTTAAATCTGATGCGTGCGGCTATAGGAAGCCAGTGAAAGGAGCGCAGCAGTGGGGTGACGTGGCTGAACTTGGGGAGATTGAAGACGAGCTGTGCTGCTGCATTCTGGATGAGTTGAGATTTAGAATCGGTTGTGCTTGTAGTCCAGGCAGATGACCTCTGGCACAACCCCTCTCTCTCATCCTAAAACCCTTTAGTGATCTTCAAAGAGACAATTTGTGTGTGTGTGTGTGTGTGTGTGTGTGTGTGTGTGTGTGGAAACGATGACCCAAGCCTTAATGGAGGATGAAGAATCTGAGACAGAGATGGGTTCTGGAGTCATCGCTGCCTTTAATACATTTAAGACTCAGCTAAGAGAACACTTCTCTGTAAGTAAACATTCTAGAAATGCACTCTCACAAATGCAGCACTGACATGAATTTGTAATGGCACCAAAAGGCATTGACCTGTTCAGTGTTAAAGAGCAAATTGGTCCACTACTGTCCACAGTCCAGGTATAAGAAGATTGAAGCAAAGTCACTGAGATCTTTAACTGACTGCCAGAAAAATGTGACCTCTCTGCTGCAAACGGCACACAATCAAAGGTAAAAGCACATTTGCAATTTACACAACTTGAACATTTGAAGACTTATTTCAGAAAGAGTTGGGCCTTACATGCACATGGTTAAATAAATGCTACACATTAGGGCATGACCAATATGATTTCATGTTTTAAGGTCTCAGAAACTCTGATAATGGAAATTATTGGCTGACACACCTTTTATATTTCACATTTTCAGATCTACAGGTGCTGTAATTTGAGCAATTAACAAGATACATGGTTTAGAACCTGTATGAATCTGCATTGCCTTCATGGAATCTACCTAGTTTTTACAAGTCAAAGTTATGATTATGGAGTAAATTACCTTCTACCGTTTGTCAAACCTCACAATAATGTAATTAGCATTTACACCACTTAGCACTATCTCACTATCCATCGTATATTAACTGTTTTGGGACACGTTTAATTTAAATCTTAACACTGTCATGAGCATTCGGCCTAAAAATTTATAGTGTGTGAATCAGCCAAATCTGTTACAGATCACATAACTCCTCTGGTAAAACTACCATGTGGCACAGCTGTGGTTTTGGTCTGTTAAGACATTATGATTTGAATTCAGACAAGGTCGCCAAACAAAAGTCAGAAAAAAAAAAATTGTCTGTATTTCTGCCAACATTTTGGTTTACTGATGTTGGCCAACTGATGCATATTTGTCAGGCTCTACCACAAATATTACATATAATCCAGTTTTATGTTTCTAAGTGCTTCTAATAAGCCACGAGTCATTGTGGTTTGCTGAGAGTGAGGTACTACTTACTGAACATGTGAATCATTTATTTTTTGTTTTTCTGTGTGAAGGCTTGTCCATTTGGAACACTTCCAGGACACTGTTGTGCAGCAGCTGGGGCAGCTGGAGCAGAACTGTCTTTCCCTCAAAAACATCGAACAGGAAACTGTGGTCTGTTTCGGCTCTCAGATACAGCCTCAATACCATTACCATTTTTGACTGGACAGACTTAAAGATGATTCTTCAAGCGTTCTTCGCTAAAGATAATGGTTCTATATAGAACTATGAACACTCAAAGAACCCTTTGCATAATTAAAGAGTTCTTTGCTTCTGGAGAGGGTTCTTCAGATTTATGGAGAATTTGCTATAGATGGTTCTAATTAGAACCTGTTTGAAAAGGGTCGTATATAGCACCGAAAAGGGTTCTACTACACAAGCTTGTATCATAATAGCAAAACCCTTTTTGGTGCTATATACGACCCTTTTCAAAAATGTTCTATATAGAAGCATCTATAGCACATTCTCCATCAATCTAAATCTACAGAACATTCTTCATCATCTGTTGTTTGAGTGTTCATGGTTCTATATAGAACTGCCTTTTTTTTTTTTTTAAAAATCTGTCTCACCCTGTCCTTATTCCAGAGGTTCTGGCAGTCTGAATCCGATACAGTGAAGGCTTTCTGTGATAAACAGCAGAAGAGGTAACCTACATAACTTACAGCCATCTGTAGTCTGACAAGAAAGAAATAGATGTGATGACAACCTTCAGCTTGTAAAGCTATTCAGTTTTATTAACCTCTGTTTCTTCCAGGTTGGATTCTCTAGATATACTGAGAGAGAGTGTCCAGGTGCCCCAGAGGCAAGGAAAGAGCACTGAAGCAACAGCCAGTGTGGTAGGCTAGACTACAAATATACCTCAAAACACAATTCCGTTGTTTTGTTATTAAATTTCAGTATAATTCAATCGGTGAGATGTAAACAGTCAGAGTGGTTTGATGTGAAGGGGTTCATTGTAAAGAAACATACAGACTCTTAACAGTGATGGTGATAGGGACCAGGGTTGTCTACAGTGGAAATATTATTACCATTAGTGCCATTTTATTCACTGTCCAAAATGACCAGTGAACCTAAGTTTTTCTATCATTGCTGTTGAAACAAAACCTTATTTCATTTTTGTAGTTACATTATGTGAAAGTTTCATGGTGAATGGAGGAGTAAAGTGCTCCAGAATTTCTTGGAATAAAATCTCTTCATATTAATGTACACTGAAAGTTAGAAATGTTTTTGTGTGTGTGTGTGTGTGTGTGTGTGTGTATTTTTTTTTATTATTATTTTTTTTTTTTCCTTTTTCCTTTTTTTGACTCACCTAATGAGAAGACTGATTTTGGCAGCTACTAAGTGCTGGATGTCAGGCTGATAAGAGGAAAGCTGAAAACGGACTTCTGGCTCAGTTTGACAGGTTTAGATACATAATTTTGCCAGAACAATTAATGAGCTTGATATAAATGTTTTGTTTTTTCAAATAATTATCAATACTTGTCATATTTAAAATTGTTTGGTTAAATGTGTATTGTAATGAGTTTTTGCTTTAAAAAACTGCATTACCAACACAGACCACTAGGTGGGTCACAGCCCACAGGTTGAAAACCACTGCTGTAATAGGTTTAAATAAAATCTGTTGGTTGAGGAACTAACTGATCCTTCCAGGATGGCTTGAGTGAGTACCATTTGTTTGTTCATTGGTTCCAAAATTCAGACATCCCCTGAGGGCAAATCCGAATGTTACTACTGTGCTGTCATTTAAAAATAATTAGTGTAGTTTAATTTGATTTTAGGTGTTGATTTTGAATAAGTTTTAGAGAAGAAACAACAGAGAATAACCTTACCACTGGTTTCAGTTCAAATGCAAAGTTTGGCACTGTTTTTCCTTACAAAGCCCTGCATGTACCCCTTCACCATGAATGGGTTTTAAAAGGCCTTCTAAGGCCAAAACTTTATCGCAAAACTCCCATAAACCAATGTCTCCCGCATCAGGCAGTGTATTTAAATTATTTCATATAACTTTTGATGTAGCTTTTAGACACAATTCTTCAGCCATCTAGCTCCTATCACCACCACTGTGAACAATTCTGCCTCGGTACGTTTCTCCAGAATGGAGCATTTCATATCAGACCACTCTGAATTACTTTGTTTACATCTTAACCATTTAATTATGCAGAAATCTGACATTGACATTTTCCTTCTAATTGACACTGCTTTTATACATGGTTTCAAAACATGATAAAATAAATTGCAGACACATTTGAAGTTAAATTCAGTATCCCTTCTTTTTCAGTCCTCAGATGCCCCCACAACCCTCTTGGCTGCAGTGCCGGTTAGTGCAGAGACTGAAAAGAGCCAAAGGGGGCCAAACACTGTTCCAGCACCAACAGCTTCCACCTAGAAGTCTACACTCTTAAAATATACTACTTTCAACTTGCAATTTTTAAAACCCCTTATGCAACCAGAAACTGGGGCGCCTACGCTGACATATTAAAACCATCTTGAGCATTTGCATAGGAGAATTTTTTTATTGCACTTGTTCATTGAGAATATTATTTGTCCTTGAATTTGCTTATTTACAGTTACAATGATTTAGAATCTTTTTATCTAATATGAAAAGAAAACACAAATGAAGGCATGGAGAGATTGACCTTACCTTATATGGGTTATTTTTTTATTTACACATTTAAAACCTCTGCTATTTCTCAACCTCATCAGCACTATATTTTGTAAATATTCTTTGTTTAATGGTTTTGATTCATCTCTGAGTAGTGGAGGATCTGGCAAACATGCTCTTGCCTTACTCTCATTTTTCTTTGCTGTAATCTTTCTGTAGATTTCTGTCCTAGAGTCTGATATAGAAAAAGAAACTGTCCAGAGAGGCATTTGGCACTAGAAAGGACTGAATTTGCTGGTTTGTCAAATCTATGCAGGAAGGCCATCGCATATATATACCTTATTAATGTAGTATTCTTACACATCTGATGCTTCTTGAATAAATTTAAATGAATGGAAAGTACTGTGTAAATCTCCACTAAGGAATAAAAGCAAATGTGGTGGGGGGATTATAAATGACAGCTCTGTACCAGGTTTCCTGTCACCAGCTGGAAAGTCATGGTAGAAATTTTCCCAAGTCCCATTGTTATAGGGGGGAGGGGAACTGTTCCACAGAGATTGTTCTGGCAACTGTCCAACATTATTAAATGTGCAGTGCTGATACTGCTGGCTTATGATAACCAATTTGTGTCCACATGTTCAGCTGCTCTTTTTCTTAAAAGATAATTGTTCTATATTATTAAGGTATGAACAGTTTCAAAAAGTGTGTGTGTGTGTGTGTGTAGAGGAAAATGAAGTACCAAAAATGATACTGTCTGCCTTTAAAACAAAGTATGACAGATCAGGCCTGTATTTAAATGTAGTGGACAATTATGGCATTTTTTTTGGCTTTTACCTAGATCAGTACTTCCCAACTCTGGTACAGGGTTACCCCCTGACCTCTACATTTTAGTATAGACAGAGAAAAGACAGTTCTCATATGATACATTAACACGTCTTTCCACTGACTTTCCATTGGGCTGATGTGAAGTGCGCTGTTCTAAAGAAACTTACCTATTCAAAACTGTTCACAGTGATGGTCATAGGAACCAGATGTCTGAAATGTTTAATGCCTCTAAAACCTCCCTCACAGAAAGTTATTACATGAAATGGTTATGAATACACTGCCAAATAAAGTTTTACTACTATTTTACCATGATCAACATCACATGTAAAACTCGGGGGATGTTCACTGGTGGTTTTGGATAGTAAATAAAATAGCTGTATTTGTGGTGTAGACATTGTGAACCCTGCTTCCCATCACCACCACCTCAGAGAAATCTGCAGTGGCAAGTTTCTTTACAATGAACCATTTCATATCGAACACTGAATGACTTTGTTTACATTTTAATGATTGAAATTTTGAAAAATCAGTGGAAGTTCCCTTTAATATACTGTGAGTTTTGTAATCTTGAAGACAGTATATTTAAGATATTTATCCAGTTCTAGGAACTCTGTATCCAGACTGTATGGAGTTACTGATCATGTGATCATGTCACATTTTTCCATGTTCATGTGCCAAGAACTTTCTACTCCGTGGTCTGCTAGTTCTAGAAACAGATCCACTCTGTGAAAAGACTGTTCCAAGTCTCAGGGTAGGTGGGTTAGACTTCACACATTAAAGCTTAAAGCATTAAAGTTATTTTGCAAAGAACTATGTTTATTCTCCAAAGGAACATAAAAACGAACATATACATTAAGTGAGAACAAATATTCCACAGAACATTGCCAAACTCAAGTATAGGCACTTATTGTTTAGTAAGTTACCTTGATTTGTTTCAGATTTGAATCTTTCTAATTGTACTTACAAAGTAAAAACTGTTATAAAATGGAAAATAATCCAACATTATCTAATGTAGAGCAAAATAAATTCCTACAGAGCTGGTTTTCATACATCGGTAATGTATGAACAATTTACAGCAGAGTGTCACTTAAAAAAAGTTGCCCTAATTGAAAATAGTAGGCCTGAAAAGTGAGGATTTCACTGACATGTATGGGGGAGAATCGACTAGCCTGAGTGGCGGAGTTTGTGCAGTACATTTTGCCTACATTCTAGCTGTTTGAAAGCACTGGTATGCAGATAGCTTTAGCTAGCATTTAGGCCTCTGAATGGTGGAGAGGTCTAGCTGTCATGCATGGTCTTTCAAAAAGCAGCATAGGGCACGGACATAGCACCTACTCTCCACATACAGGAGAAAGAACTTACAGCAGGTATAGTGAGTGAAAGAGATGCTGAAAACGTATTTCAGAGAAAATACTGTATCAGCCATGCAAAGAGCTGACCAAAAAGATCATTCAGCAAAAAATCCAGTGGAACATTATGACAGAGCACAGCGACAGCAGGAACAAACAGTACTGTTAAAACTCTGACCGCCAGGCTACCAATCATCAGTTCTGGTCACAAGTGTTAAAAAATAGAAAGTGGAATACACAATGTAGGTATATGTACAGCATGAAAACCATAAAAGTTGAAGTTCAGCAGGAACAGAAGATCAGAGCTCTCAGAGCTACATTTCTTGGAATTTAAACAGTGTCACTGAGGTCTATGAATCACCCTGTTTTCATCCACCTGTTGCACAGCTTAAGTATTGCAGTCTAAGGGCAATGTTCAGGCAATGTAAAGGAGGTGGAAGAAACCAGCCATGAGGTATAAGCAAACATCAGGGCCTCATTTATAAAACAGCAACATTTAATTTATGCCTATAAAATACTCCAGCATTTTTCAGTCTAATCTCTAGCTGCTGCATCTGTATTGCATCGTTAATTACCATACCCACTCAATCATGCTTATAGTAGAACTTAACATGAACATACCGATACCAGTGCACAAGTGTTCAAGTTGTTTTTAAACTGCAGATAGTTAAAAATATTTTTTGTTGCTTGGATCCCGTTACAGCCCACAGCCAGTGCAAGTCTGCCATTTTTGTTTGGCAACCCAGACTGAAAAGCATTTTCTTATGCAAAAAACTAAACTCAACCATATGTGGACAATCATATGGAGGCTCAATTCAAGCACCTGTTTATGCAAGAATGTTCTAAGAATTATTCATATTAAGTTTATGAACTTGTACCTTGTATATGAAGGTTGAAAACTGGTGCTAATTTTATAAATAAGCCCAAGGTAGTAATGTTTTTAGATCTGAAAAACCTGAAAACAGTTACTGTGACAAAAATACCACTCACCAGGAATGAATCGATATCTAGGGTTTGCAAATGTGGGATATGGCATATTTTGGTTCATTTAAAAACAGTGAATTTCAGTTTTAGAGGGATTACTGTTTGAGTCCGATGGTTCACATGAATACATGAAGAGGGGTTGTTTGTAACAAGGCAAAATGAAAAATAAATACCTGGCTTTTGAATACTTCTGCAAGGCACCGCTTTTATGAATGCACAATGATGTGCTTATGAATGCCAACAGCTTTACCACACATTCAGTCCTTATACACGTTACTTTTACTGTTACTGCAGAAAGAACTGAGCTCTAATGAATCTTGCAGTGAATGACAGTCTCAATACTATTATAGTGGTCAGTCCCGGATTATTGTGATGACAAATTTATGTTTCCTACATGGATTCTGAATATGATTCTCGAAGAGTGAGAAAGGTTTACACCAATTAATTTCTGAATGATGATGGATGGTAAGATTTTTCCCATGATAATGGCTGTGGTTGTGCATATGTCTCAGTGAGACTTGTAATATTTTCAAATGCTCAGAACATTGAGTTACTGTCAAGTCTTTAGAGAAATGAACCAAAACATGATACAAAAACGGAAGGTTAAAAAAGTACCCTATACAAAAACCACAATTACAGAATAATTACAGAGGATTATCCCTGCTATCAGATTAGTGTCTCAGCATAATTGGATTGAGAAAAGGAATCTTGAAGAGTTATGTCCTGTTGTTACTGTAGCTTATGTTTGGCTCCGTTGACGACGGATGAGACGCCGTTTGTGTGATTTCTCGCAATCTCTCTAGCTTTGTCATCTCTTGCTGGCTTTTTTCTGTATGTCTGCAAAATAAAGTGACATTAGATTAATGAATTAGCTAATGAATGTAACTCATGGAGCACATGCACGACAAAAATTCAGTGTGTTCCTAAGTAGCTAAATACAACTGCATGTTTTGTTGATTTTGTGAAAACAAGATAACATCAACTACAGAGAACAAATTTAAATCTGGCACTTTTCTGCAAATTTGAACAGATCTGAAAAAAAATGTGTGCTATAACTTTTGCAGAGGCCACATTGTGTGTTTTACTTTTCCACATATTAAGTTGTGTATTAAAATGTGCAGAAGTGAGTTCTCTGTAGAGGATGTGTACTTATATTCACTAAACGTAAGTTGACCAGGGTGCCTGAACTTACATACACCTGTATGCAGAGAACATAGTCTTTGATGTGGCTTTAAAATGGCTTTCATTTTGCTGTTAAATAAAAGATGTCTGAATATAGTTATTTTCTTATCTATATAAGTCTATTCTGTGGCATAGAATACATAGACACACTATTAAAAATAAATGCTTCTAAAAGTATCTTCCTTGGCTCGGATGTACGGTTCTTGAGGAACTTTTAGCTGGTATAAAACATTTACTTTATGTTAAGATTCTGTAAAAAAAAGACTGTAAAAAAAGGTTCTTCACAAATATCTTTTTTCCAAAAACGGTTCTCTAAAGAACTATCCATTGAAAGATTCTTTATGAAACTAGAAGTAGTTGTTCTACGGTTTGACTCCAAAGAACCCTTTTGAGGGTTGACATTTTTCTAAGGATGTAGATACTGAGTGAAAAAAGCAATAAAAGCAATAAAATGTGAATGTAATTACTGGATACCAGTGGAGTCACAGATTTACACTCACTATTTATGACTGGTGCTCCTTACCTGCAAATAGAAGTTAATGAACAAGATGACGAGTGTAACCATGTAACTGGACTGGAACAGCAGGCAGCCCAGCGGGAATCCACAAGGGAAAACCGCTGCACTGAGTGTGTGTGTTATAGTTAGTATAAACTGGATCTGTAAGCAAAAAAAAAGAACAGGAGAGAACCATACTTAGAAACAACTCTCTACTTCATGCAATGCAATAAAATGTAATGACTGTATAAACTTTAATTTCAAACAGAAAGCAGTGATTTGTTAATCCATTTTGTGTTTAAACAAAACTGGGACAAGGAACATTGTGAAATCACGTTGAACAAATAATGCAATCATGCTTGGGTATAAAAGGAGCAGTCAGGAAAGACAAGAGTCCTTTATGAGCAAGGACAAGTCAAGGTGTCAGCAAATAATGCAAGGATTTTAGGTATTTCACCCTCTGTGGTGCATAATATCAAAAGATTTGGGGAATCTGGACAAATCTCTGTGCATAAATGGCAAGGCAATAAAGCACAACTGAATGCCCATATCACCACATGGGCTTGACAAACCATTGCCATTAAACACTGTTCATCACTGCATCCACAAATGCAAGTTAAGACTGTACTATGCACAGCCGAATCCAGAAACGCTGTCAGCTTCTTTGGGTTCCAGCTTACCCGAAACGGACTGATGCACAGTGAAAACGTGTATTGTGGTCTGATGACTATTTCATATTGCTGATGGAAATGATGGACATTGTGTTCTCCGAGCAAAAGAAAAAAAAACCATCCAGATTGTTACCAGCGTAAAGTTCAAAAGCCATTTCAAATGTCTGTGGTGGTATGAGGGTATATTAGTGCCCATAGCATGTAACTTACACATCTGTGAAGGAACCACTGGAAGAGACGTACACTTTGTGGAGAAACATATGCTGCCTTGTACACAACATTTTTTTCGAGGACATTTGTGCTTATTTCAGCAAGACAACAGTAAGCGATATTCTGTACAAGTTACAGTATCAAGGGTCCTACCATGTGGGGCATTATGAAGTGCAAAATGCAACAACGACTGAAAAAATTCTGCTTTCAGAACTGGATCAACAGTGTCTTCAGTCCCTAAATGATTATTAAGTGAAAGGTGATGTAACACAGTGATAAACATGCTCCAGTGCCAACCTATTTGTAAAAATACCAAAATTTGGAAATAGAACATAATAAGCAATTAACAATAAACAATAAAAAAGAGTTTTAAAAAATATACAGAAACATGTCATATCAAAACTTCATAACTTTCTTAACTTAATAAAACCCCATTTGAAAAGACCAGCTGCCCTTTACATTCTGTTAACATTTCACAATGAATGGATGAATAGAAACAGTCTGAAATTACACTGAATGAAAATTACATTCACTTACATCAAAATTTTCTGTGTGAAGTTACCGCTCTAAGAAATTTTGTTATGACAGTGAAGAAACATTCTTGTGTGATCTAGACCAAAACTGGGAAAGAATTTAAGCAGAAGGAAGAGAAACTAGCTGTACTGACCAGCTGGGCTTGCGTGAGGTAGCGTTTCCACCACAAATATTTGTGCATGGACGGGATGGTGGACAGACCGTAGTACGAGTACATCAGCACGTGGATGAAACTGTTCAATGTGGGCCCAAAGAAACCTGCACAAAGATCAATCAGCATGTCAGTGACCTCATCTCACCCTGGAGAGTTCTAGATGACCAAAGCACTGTAGAGTTCAGTGTGTGCTATACTCTGACTTCCCTGCTTCAGCTTAATAAAAAATCTGATGAGTTGGATAAGATGGATTGGCTACACTGTACAGTTCTGCAGTAAACTTGCTTTTTTTTAAACTCTATCATTCACAATGAAGTAATAAGGAGTGCTGTTATGGCACATTTCCATATCCATGTGCTACTTTTTGAATAAAGCATGCAGGCAATCAGAACAAAAGGCAGTCTTAAAGGCACAGTCTCAAAAATAGCCTAGGGATAATAGACAATGGAAATAGTAATGCAAAAATTAAAAGAACTATTTTTAGTTTATTTGCTGAATTTAACATATTGAAAAAAATAAACCATAAAAATATGGCCTGTGCAAAAGTTATAGCACATTTTAAATTTTATGTTTGTTTTCCAACATGTCCAGGGTGTATCCTGCCTTCTGCCCAATGGCAGCTGGGACAGGCTCCCACGCCCCCCATGACCCAGAAGGATAAGCGGTTTAGATGATGAAATTGTCATATTTACACTATATAGACAAAAGTATTGGGATACACCTCTTAATCACTGAATTAAGGTGTTTCATTCAGTACCATTACGGCAAGTGTATAAAATCAATCACCTAGCCATGCAGTCTGCCTTTACAAACATTTGTGAAAGAATGAGTCGTTCTGAAGAGCTCAGTAAATTCGAGCGTGGTACTGTAATAGGATGCCACCGTTGCAACAAGTCAGTTAAAGAAATTTCTTCCCTCCTAGATATTTCATGATCAACTACGAGTGGTATTACTGAAAAGTGGAAGCATTTAGGAACTACAGCAACTCAGCCACAAATTGGCAGACCATATAAAGTTACAGAGCGGGGTCACTGAGTGCTGAGCTGCATACTAAAGAAAAGTCTGACTGCAGAGTTCCAAACCCCCTCTGGCATTAAAATCAGCACAAAAACTGTGCGCCGGAAGCTTCATGGCATGGGTTTCCATGGCTGAGCAGCTGCATGCAAGCCTTACATCACCAAGCACGATGCCAAGCGTCGGATGGAGTAGTGTAAAGCACGCCGCCACTGGACTCTGGAGCAGTGGAAACGTATTCTATGGAGTGACAAATCACGCTTCTCTTCCTGGCAGTCTGATGGATGAGTCTGGGTTTGGCCAATGCCAGGAGAATGTTATCTTCCTGACTACATTGTGCCAACTGTAAAATGTTCTTTTGGTTTTTACTTACTTTGTCCACAAGGAATCCAATTCATGACGCACCACCAGATATTGAACATGGAGGCGTGGTGATAAACATGCAAGAAGGTGATCTGATTGTTCTTTTTCCTCAAAACGAAGAAGATGGTGTCCAGAAATTCGATCAGCTTGGAGAAGTAGTACCACCACAACACTTTTGCCACCTGCCCAGGTAAGAAAGAGAGAAAAGACCAAATCAGATCACATATATGATCACAAGACCTTTAATAACAGTATAATAATTTGAAACATCTGCCTTAACTGCCTACAGTCTGTGTATATGGTAGAGGTATGGTATTGTAGATTTAACACTTAAACAACGCTTTAGCCTTTTACTGGTCTTTCACTACATGGAAGCTTTGCCTGGCTTTATAGCTAAGCTCACAGCTATGCATTATACAGACAGATAAGGCTAGGTCACTAAATACTAGGAGTGCGGGAAAAAATCGATTCTTAGACGCATCGCGATGCGGACGTGGACGATTCTGAATCCATTCACAAATGTCAAAAATCGATTTTCTAAATATATAATTTATAACGTAATGTTGACGGAACGCAAAGGGCGGAACTTGGAAGTGCAGCGTCTGGACAGTCTGTGGTGGCACATAACAAAAACACAACTGGATGAGTGAGAAATCCGACCGGCTCCCTCTGCATTAAAAGCCAGGTTAGATCAGGAGTCACAACACAAATGATAAGAAGGGCCATTCCGTCCTTTAACATAAATCAAACCACCTTGGGAACCACAACATTTACTGTCCAGTATGTCTCAGTATGTGTTAATGTCCTAGTATAGACTAAACAATATAAACGAAAACGCAGACTTGCTCTGCTCTGCTTTAAGCTTTAGCTACAGCCGCTTTTCTTCCATCTCCGCCAGAAAACTTTTCCTCAAAAGTTGAATAGTTTCTTGTAAAATGTCTCTCAGCTTTCGGCTGTTTTACGAGGCTGAAGTCGCTTCTCATTCACCAGCTTCTTGATGAACTTTCCCGTTCCACCTTAAATTCTGACTGAGGCGCCGAATGTAAAAGCGGCACCATTTAGGGTGGAACGGGAAAATTAGAAAGAGAAGCGACTCTTTCTTCGCAACTTTTTACTTAGTGTTTGACAGCCTCTCGTTGCAGATTTAACGTACCAGGAAGCCAACTACGTTGCTTATAAATGCGAATAAGTCCATTCATCTCCAAATGTTCGTCTTTCTCTTTTCCTTTTTCGTTCGCTACTAGCCAGGCAAAACCTCGTTGCCACGTGACCTGCAGTCAGTCCAACCCCACCCCAATAACGAGACCAAAACCGAAGTTATGAAATCACTAAAGAATATATAATGTGCTGCGTGGACATCCATTACCACTGGATCTTATTTCACCGTAACAGCGCATTTTATCACAGATGAGTGGCAGCAGCTTCTCCAAACAAGAGCAGTGAATGAGAGCCTTCCAGTTCTCTTGCCACATCACTTCCCTTTGTTTTATTAATAAAAGATATTGGACGTAAATGCATTATGGATCATTACAAATACTTTGCTTTACAACTACCAAGTCCTCAGACAGTAAGAAAATAGAAATCATGTATAGAAAAAAAAGATGCATCGAAAATCGTTTTATAATCGCATACTAGTCATTTACACATACAGTCATATGCAAAAGTTTGAACACCCCCTGACAAATAACATATTTTGTTGATTAGTGCAGAAATTTATTTGCTGAGTTTAACATATTGGAACAAAATTAAAGATAAAATATGTGCCATAACTTTTTCACAGGGCACATTTTATTTTTCATTTACTCCCAATATGTTAAATTCAGCAAGGAAATAGTACTTTTTCATTAAACTGTGCAGACGTGTGTGTCTCTGTAGACGGTGTTTTGACTTATGTTCACTTACAAAATTAGCAAAACATATAATTTGACCAAGGGCGCCCAAAGCATATGACTGTACCGAGTGACCTGGTACCTATACTTAACACAACTCTACAACAAGCTGATCTATTTGCCATGATAGTGTAAAACTTTTGAATTTTTTATTGACATTAACAAAAAAATAAAATTAAAAAATTACTTTTAAAATATGTGTATAATTGTTTGCTTCCTAAGTGCTGGATACTCTGTGGTAAAAGAATGCCTTACAAATGTGACATAACATATTTTGTTTGGTCTATTTTGGACATTAATCAGAAGAAAATGAAAGTTTCTAGTTAATTATTTCTTATGTATTTTCAATACTGCTAAACTAGAAATAAAGCACATACATTATATGTCCAAAAGTTTGTAGACATCTGCTCATTCAACATTTCTTCTGAAATCAAGGGGGATTAGTAGGTCCTATGTCCACCCTTTGCTGCAGTAACAGCCTCTACTCTTCTGGAAATGCTTTACACTAGATGTTGGAACACTGCTGTGAGGATTTGACTGCATTCAGCCACACGAGTGGGGTCAGGTACTGATGTTAGATGATTAGGTCTGATTCACAAATGTCATTTCAACTCATCTCAAAGCTATTTGATGGTCTATAGAAATTATACGAGCTCTGTGTGCACAGCTGATTGTCTGTCAGCAGTGGGTGCACCCAAGAATCTGAATCCACTAATTAGAAAGGGTGTCTGGATACTTTTGGACATATATCTTGCAACGCTGCAAATATAACCACAAGGTCTTTGTTCTTTATATCTGATAAATCTTGATTAACTTGATGCATAATGAAATTGACTTCTATGTTGTGCATGCTATATTCCAAGTTTGACCATACAGTACCACATGTTTTGATGAGTTGATCACATGCCAAAACGGATTGATAGGAAGTATTAACAACTTCAGTATGCAGGACACAACATTAAAAAGGGCACAGTATAAAGAAAACAGAGTGTTAGTGGCCTGTAGCATGGCACAATGCACTGAGTAACATGTAGTCTGAGCACTGATGTGCTGGAATTAAACCACAGAGCACAAATAGGTCATGGCTATGAGATGTCTCATGCTGATGTGCCCATGCTCACATGCAGGGTTCTCAAACTCAAGTTCAGGTGGACCACAGCACTGCACAATTTAGTGTTTCCACACTTTAGCATGCATGATAATGAATGAAGATGAAGCTGGAGAAACCCTAAAGCAAGGCTGTGGCCCTTGAGTCCGGGCGTTTGAGCACCCTGGCGAAGAAGTTATTTTTATTTTTAGTCTATAACAAGAAGTTCAAGCCTTGTTAAGCAGCTTTTGGAACAGTCCCTCATCACATTCCCATTCAGTACATACCGCTCACTGTACCACATCAGATCGGGCCGCTAGAATTGGCGATCTCTGAAATAGCAAGTGCTTGATCTTATTCAATCCTCTCAAAATATAGCAAAATGTCAATTTCAATTATAGTGACAGGACCAGAACCAGTTAAGTTCTGGATACTTCAAGATGGATGAAGTAAGTCAAAAGACAAGGCTGCGTAGTAGGAAAAAATGTTTGGTTTAAGGGGAAATTCCACTGATTTTTAAAAATGTATTCATAATTAGATTGTTAAGATATAAACAAGGTCATTCAGAGAGGTTTGTTGTGAAATGCTCCGTTCCAGAGAAACTTACAGTGTCAGAATTGTTTACAGTGGTGGTGATAGGAACCAGATGTCTGAAGAGGTTGATGCCTCTAAAAACTCTCAATCAGAAAGTTTTTGAACAAAATAGTTAAAATTATGTCTGAGACACTGATTCACAGTGGTTTTGAGATAGGATTTGGGCCTAAAGCATACTTTTTAAAATACTTTAATGGCAGAGAGATATAGTCAGAGTGTTATAAGGCAAAATAGTCCCTAAAAATGATTTTTTTCAGAACTGTCACTAGTTTACCATTATTATTATTGAATATAATCTTAGGAGACATGTAGTAGTTTTTGATAGTACATCAAATAGCTATAACTATGTTGTAAACATTGCAACCCCTGGTTCCTATCTCCACCGCTATAATAAATTAACCATTTGCACATCAAACCACTCTGAATGACTTTGTTTATGTCTTTTGAAAAATTCAGTAAAATTCAGTGAAAGACATAACTACATGAAAAATCTTGTTTCCTAAAAAAACACCCTGTTTTAGGTTTCAGGTATTATTCCTGTATTAATCATGGTTTTCCATGAAAAAAATCAAGTAAAAATACATATTTATTTATGTTCTGACAATATAAACTTTGTCCTCCAACAATTAATAAAACTAGTCTATTTAGAGAAAGGCCCAATATAAATTCAACATCATATAATAATAATAATTATTATTATTTTTATTATTATTATTATTATTATTATTATTAAGTGAAAATATTCTTCTTAGGGCTCAATTCTCAAACCCAGGTTAAGCTTAAGCCTAGATTAAGTGAAATTTTTAACGGTGGAACACCATTGACATTGTGGTTTAGTCCAACACTAGGCTTAATTCATGTTTACGAATCCAGTGTTTCATTTATACCTTGTTAAATATTTCACATTAGTTCAGTCCAGTTCAGGCAACCTTTCAAAATCCAAGCACTCTTTTAAATCTTCTATCTTCTAAATGATGTATGTTCATATTTTCAGATAAAGTGGCTTGATGTTTTAAAAAAAGAAGGTGCGATATGAGGTTTAGGTCACATCATCTTCTGTGAGTTTACTGGCTGGTTGCAAAGCATAAATCTGATTACTGCCTGACTCATGTAGACCCAGAGTTTTCCATTATCTGATTACTCATGTGCATGTAAAGGTGTTGATCGGATTACTGACAAAATCTGATTTTCAGCCGTTATTGGATTATTAAGTGCATAGTGTGTAAACGCACTCACTGCTGCACACTGGCATCATAAGACAATTACACAAAAGTACCCCAAATAAAGCAGTGAGCTTTGTCAAGATTACAAGATTGTCTAGAACACATTAGGAATAGCTGGTGTTATTATGTAATAGTGTTGAGGCTTAACAGTATGCTTACTATTGTGCTAATGTGCAGGAGTGGTAGCTTGCTATTAGCATTGACATAACAATGTTCATATTCTGACTAAAAGAAAAAACACATCATGTTTGGAACTTGTTTGTGAACCACAGGGCGTGATAGTGGCGATTTTCGAAAATCCCAATCTTGTAGAGAAAACCAACTTGGATAAGGCGTTGCTAATATAAGCATGACTTCAACTACAGAATAACACACGACTTCAGAGGTCTATGAGAGATCCTTTTTGGTTACAGCCCATTAGTATGTCACTGGCTGAATGGCAGAAAGGGATTATGGGAATTGTAATGTTTCTCACTTACCCTGATGTCGCCCTCCCCTGCGTCAAAAAGTGCTTGACATTTTAGACGATAGCCCGCTGACCAGGTTGCTGAAATTAGCTGCACACACACACAAACACAGGCAAAAAGTGAGACAAGCATCCATCACAATAGTAGCAAAAGATGCAAGTGCAAAGAATTTTGAAGTAAGAAAGTAACAAAAAAGAGGAGGAACTATTCTTACTACTCTTCTTCTCTACTCTGTATCTCTTCTCCTTCTTTACTTTCCCCATCACTCAAGTTTTTTTTTTACCCCTCTCACATCTCACAGGACAGAAGCGTCCTGTGACCTCTGCTGTTATTCTATCGCTGTGACCACAGAGACTGACCTTTCAGGCATCATTACATTCACATGCACTCATTCCCTATTTATCTCTTTGCCTCTGCCTTTTTTTCTCTCTCCCTCACTTTCTCTGTGTCTTCTTTCACTTAAGGACTATCACGCTTTTCTGTTTTCAAAACTTTCTTTCTCAAAATACTTTTTTTACTGTTTATCTTAAACCACTTAAACCCTACAGACCTGCATGTAGGCACATGCTTTAGTTCTTAACACTCATAACCTTTTAGCTTTTAGTTTAGTTTTTGATAGCTATCAAAAAAGTAGTTAGTGAATACATCATAGTTGTTACTTGAATACTTATAGTTACCGATGAACTCATATTAGTTCCTGAATAATTCATTGTAGTTACCATGTAATTAATAGTAGCTACTGAATCATTTGTAGTATCTTGAATAATCTGTACTACTTACTGAATAATTTATATGAATTTCTGAATAATTCATACTAGTTACTAAATAATTTGTAGTAGCTACCAAATAATTCATAGGAGCCCCTCAAATCATTCATAGTAGTTTGAGCAATGAACAAAACCAGTAATACCTAAGTCGTGGGATTTGAACCCGGTTCACCTCTCCTACGCATGCATAGCAGTTACTGAATAAGTCTATGGCTCAATTAGAATCTCTAATATAGCATGGACACTGTCCCTCCAGAACCAGAACTGGGCCCCTCTGGTCTTGGTTCTTACCTCCACCAGCATGTAGAATGACAGCATGGTGACTGAGAAGTTGTACAGTAGCAGAACATTCTTCAGTGAGTAGGCTGGCCTGTTCTTCATGTATTTTGGTCCCAGGTAGACTATCAGGAGGTAGATGAAGGTGAGGAGCAGAGTAGGTGTGCAGGAGTCCAGCAGCAGCCATCCTCGCACTCTCGGATCTACCAGTAAAAGAAATATTACCAACATATCAATATATATGACTAATAGTATGAACATTATTCTAAAAAGAAGAGCTAATATTACAAATTATAAGTTTGACAAGTTATATTATTGTTAAGGGTGGGAACATGATGATATGCATTATCGTGCCAAAATAGGTCACATACATACATTTTTCTCAGTATATTATGGGTATCGCCTGTATGTATCATAAAAATAATCCTAAAAACCAATTATAGAGAGATTGTAAAAACAACATTCATGAACTGCTTAGTAACAAGTAGTTAGATGTCAGCCAGTTACACCATTATCTTTGATCATTAATTTGTTTTTGTATAATTTTTGCGCATGCTGAATAACTTCACTAAAAATTGCAATGCATATCATGTATTGTTAAAATGTCTTTATATTATTGTACTGTGATAATATTCATCTATTTCTGACTTGAACTTGGTCCTGGCACTGTTCACAGTTTGAAAGCTCATGTTTAACAGGAGACTCTAGAGCGATCTGAGGGACATTTGTATTCTTGAAGCTGTGCAGTCTCATTCTAGCCAGCACAAAGCCAGCGCTGGCATGACTGGGGGGAAGGGGGGGGGCAGTCAGCATGAATTAATGTCTTCATCCAAAAATGTGATTCATCTATACATAGATTCATGTCAAACTATTAATTAGCTTTAGCACATATTTTAAAAGCTAGGACCCAAAGCGCATACATGGCATTCCACAAGGACTTGTATTAATAATATGGATTAGATACTGCGAGCAGATTGACTGCAGATGAACTTTAACACACTTAACTCTGCAAGGTGCAGTACAGCCTCTAACGTAGCAGCAAATCACGATTAACAAAGAACTTTTATACTGAATCCTAATTTGCATTGAGTGAATCTACTTCTATCTCCTATCTTGCAGGACTAATGGGGCTGAAATGGACCGTGCTAGTGTCTCTAGGGAATGAATGTGCTGAAGAACAGAAACAAAGAAACACAAAAGTACTGGAATCAATCTTTTTGCACTGCATGTTAAAGTTAACAGGGGAAGGACTGAAAATCTACATGTGGAAAAGAAGACAGAAGGCACAAACCTCTCTCTCCGAATAGCTTATCCACTGCATTGTTTATCCACTTGTCTATGGCATAGTAGTGGTTCTGGAACGCACAAAAAAAGAGAAAAATAAAAAATCATTGGCTGGCCTGCTGGATTGATTGTCTTTGACCTTCTATGTGTCCTACCATTGCATAAGACATATTCAAATTACAAATTATGCTTGTTGGATGAAAAATGATCTTGCTAGCAGAGTTCATACCGGAAGGTTCATCGTTTGCAAGCATTGATCAATGACTCCATGTCAGTGTTGTACATGTTTTTTTTGTAGTTGCATTTAATTACAATTCAAGTTTAAATAAGAAATATAAAACCACATGGATGGATCAGCCATGCAATGTCAGTTGACTTACATAGTATAGTCTATAAAAGCATTAAATAAAGCATTCAAAACCCTACCTTATAGATTCTCTCCTTTTTACTGGGTATATTATTTCTAATAAACCCACTAAAATGGTTTGCATTTCCTTTAATCAGCAGAAAATAAGATGATAAGAAAGACAAACACTGTGTACTGAAAAGACCAATGTGTCCTTTCTCATTTTACAGGTCACTGCCCCCCACTGTCTGTCTGTCTGTCTGTCCGTCTCTGGCTCTCTCTTTTCCCTTCTCTCTCTATCTGTGTGGGAGGTCACTCAGTTTTGCTGTGAGTGCCCGTTTTTTTTTAAAAACAGAGCCCTGCTTTCTCCTCCTAAGAACTTTAATGTTTATTGATTGGACACTATGAGGGGATATGGTGACAAAGTAAAGGGCAACCTGGTTGGATGAGCGTGTGTGAAACCCCTTTCTGTCCAAGGAATGATGTGTCAGAGGACTTTACCTTTAGGTATCTCATCTTTGTTGGACGTTTATAACTCATTAACCTTTTTTAATGTGTGTTCCGATATGCATCTCACTTTGTGTACATATAATTGGGGAGGGGGGTGACAAAAATATTCAGAATGAATGAAAAACAACTGTACATTTAAAGATCAAGAAAGACAGTTTGCAAAAAGAAAAAAAAAGCCAGTTGCCACTTTGTTAACATCCTTAGACCTGGATTTATGTCAAAGTATGCTTCCTTAGTTTTGCACTGGGGCTGCATGGCTAATGTAGCTAACAGCTAATGAAAGTCTAGAATATTCTGTCCTATAGATTTAGCCCCGTAGCTCCAGCAGGAAACTAAAGAAGTAAACATCAGACATAAAACATGTCATGGCCAATAGACTACATTTGGGGAAAGGGGAAAAGTTTAAGGATACACCGGTATGGGAATTCTGGGCCAATGTCGATATCCCTATTTTTCACTTACATATCTACTGATGGTGATATGTGATGGTGATACATATACAGTACTGTTCAGGCACCTGAGCACATTATTCAAAAACATGTATCTTGGCAATAAGTGTGTCGTTGCTTGTAGTGTCACCATGTATATATGTGTGTGTGTGTGTGTGTGTGTGTGTGTGTGTGTTTCACATGTCTCCTCGATGCCCCATACCTTCGCATGTATTTGTTAAATTTCATCAGCAGCACACCTGTTTGTTTGATTGATTAACCAAACCAGATGTTGGATGATTACAATTTGCAAATGGTTAATTCAACATACTGACATACATAAAATCACTGCTGACTGTATTAATATAAAGTTGTATTTATGCTAATATTAGTGTTTTTGGTGCAAATCAAGGCGTCTAAAACTTTTGCACAGCACTGTGAATGTAGAAATGTACAAAATGGGACTAAATCTACATGGATTAGCATTACAGTAATTACAAATTGGCATTACAGGTTTACAAACGCAGTAAAATGGATTGTTGTCTAAACATTGTGCTCTTCTGGAATACCGTACATACATCCTCAAATATCAGTTTGAAATTTCATCATCCAAGCACCTGTCCAATGCCAGTCATTTTTTTGACAAAACCAATATGATTCTGTTATATGATTATTGTGAAAGTTTATTCATTTATTTATTCATTCACTTGCCAAAGCATTCCTTTGCTTTGTCATTTTCCTGAGGAAGCTCCACCACTCAAATTAAAAGAGGCTTTTGTGTGTATCCTAAATATGTGTGAACCTTGCTGAGTATGCTTGGCTGAGTGTGCATCCCTGGAAACACTCATGGAAATGTGTCCACCAGTGCAAGTGGGAGATGACCTGGTTACAAAGTGTTCCCTCAGTTCATGCATTTGAATTTTATGACCCCATCTGCTCTAATAAAAAGTGTTAAACGATTAAGCATATAATAAAAAGATCACATCTGCTAAGTTGGCACATAGTAAAGGTCCTTTAGAAGATATGGTTGTGCACAAACACACAACTTTGCTGAAGCCATATTGCTGACTTCAGCATCTGTATGCAAGATCAAGCACAGAATCGGAGGATGAACTCAAACTTTTTTCATTCATCCACAGTGGACGTGTGGACACAGGGACATTTTATGACCAAACATGGCCATCCACTGGCCTGTGCCTGGGGGTCTCTTTCTGTGCTTCTTTCACTTCTCTTTGTGATTTTAATGACTTGTTTCCATAAGAAAAGCAGGGTCACTGCTAACTTGTAGTTGAACAGAAGTTTGCAGAATCCTGCAAAGTACACTGTAGTGGGTTCTGTTCCTCAGAACTGTGACCCTCCATCAAATATTTGACATTTTTTGGCAACCAAAGATTTAGCCACATACATCTGAACGCACAATTTAGCGTCCAATTTAGTCAAAGCTGATTCTCTAGACACCTTGGAAGACCAGATAAGACCTCTGAGCTTTGGAAGCCCTGAGGTAAAATAAATGATTAAATAGGCATACTGAATCACTGGGATGCAAAGGCCGGCTAACACCGCGCTGAAGAGATCAATTAGCTAATTCGTAAAATGCATGCTATCAGAGGGCTTTTAGGCTAATAGGTGTGACCTTAAAGTCAGACTTTCTAGACAAAAGAGGCATCTTCCATTATCTATCTGAACGGATAAAAGAAGCAGCAGCATCCTTCTAACCACACAACCCTAGTCAATAAACCTGTAAAAACCTCACATCCCTCAGATATCACAAAGACAAATGCTCGTTTTCACTCACCATGCTAAAGAGCTCCATGGCACAGCTGTGTGTTTTGTAGCTCTAAATCGAGGCTGCTCTGTCAGTGCACAGACGCTCAGTTGTCCGGGATGGCCGTTGTTTCCTCGCCGCGCCTCTCCGCGCCTCTTTCGGTGTGGCATGCGCCCGCCCGCGGTCCTGCACGCCGCTGTTACGCGCTTTCACGAGCCTTGCTGGATTTTTGTGTTTCTGGGCGGAGCTCCAAAACCAGCCGCCCCGCCTGCCGAACTGTTTACCCTTTGTGATATCTGAGGGATCTGCGGTCTAAGGCTTTATCCAGCGAGGATGAGGAGACAGTGGCACGCTGAAAGGTGCACTGTTTCTTTTTTCAAAACCCACCCGTTTTCCGACAAGACCCGCCTTCCTACGCGAGGATTGGCTAGAAATATCCCGCTCTGAGCTGGATTAGCTAACAGGCTAGTAGGGCTGACTGCGAACTCACTGGAAGCCAATCCTAGCGTAGGAGGCCGGTCCTGTGGGAATACAGGACAGAAAACCACGCGTAGCTCTAACACAATATTCATTAGAAGTCTACATGTAAATGTTGTTGGTAGTCTTGTCTTGTATGAAAGGTACTATACTAGAAGTTATTAATATTACTATTAATATTAGGCCACTATGGATGCAAAGATAGGAATCGTGGACTGATCTGACATCCAGTAATTTTTATGAGTATATCATGCTGATACATAAACATTTATAAATTGGAAAAAATAGGCCTAAACACCTGAACGTTCTTCTCTTCCCAAGTACAATAAATATGTATAGGCTTTGAGGAATTGAGCTTATCAGTAGCCTAAGACAGACTGAATAGGTCAGAATCCAGGAAAGACGTGCTAACAACAGAGGTGTAATATTCCAAGACCAGTGTTTCCCAGTCCTGTTCCTGGAATCATCTGCTCTGTACATTTTACCTGCTCTATCAACTCCTGACTCAACTCATCAACTTATTAACAATCCATTCATAAAGTTAAAACGGGTGTGTTAGTGCAGGAAAGCACTGTGTGCAATGTGCAGAGGTACTAGATCAGCACTGAGGAACTCTGATCTGTCTGATGGTAACATCGTACCATAAAGGGGTCAAACGTCAAAGTGAACCTTAGTACATTGACCGAAATATGCTACGACTACCTCATTGCACTCACCTTAAATGAATGACAGGGCACACATGCAAACTGCAGACCGAGTCTAAACTCTATTGTACATACAGGCCACTATTTGGGTATAGAAGTTATTATTTCATAACGTGGACTTTAGGAGCCATTTCAGCTTCACCCATAACTCAGATAACTCTGACTTCTTTCTTGAAGCGATTTTAATAATATAATCTTTTTACAAACCCGCGAAAAACTGCGCATGCCTACAAAAAGTGGGCGTCACTAAACAAGTAAACAGGACAGCATTTAGTAAGTAGTCATGTCACCGTGCCCTTTAATCGTAATAAATCAATTGGACTCCGTCGTCACGGTAACTGACAGCGTTTTTATTTGGCGCTGATGTGAGAACGTGCTTAAATGATGTCGGTAGAGTTGTTCAGTCATTCAGGACCCTGAGCAGTCGAGTAGCAGCAGCAGTAGTAGTAGGCTAATTCAAGACTACCAGTTCAGTCATCTTGACTGACACGTTTTTAACGATTTAGGCAGGCTACAGACTCGGCTTACCTCGAGCTACAGTAGAATACACAACCGTGAGTATTTTGAAAGGTGGTGAAGACTTTTTTCAGCTAAGAAATTAGACATGAAGAAAGAAGCGATTGCATGAAGTGCTTTTGTTACTGTGAACCTCTACGACGCTCTGAAGCCCCGCCTCCTTCTCATTCTGAGTGGACGGGTCTCCCGGGCGTAGGCGGGGCTGAAGGCGGGAATGGCATCGGTAGGCGGAGCTTGAGAACCCCAGAGCTGGAGCGGGCAGCGGGTCTGTGAGTGGCTGCGAGGCGGTGGGGTGATGCCCCTCGGTGGGGTGATGTGGGGCGATGCTGCCACCGTGTTCTGGTTGGACCAGAGGCAGGCAGGAGGGTTCCGCTGCCAAGAAAAGTGATAAGAGACGGGTGAACGAACGGGTAAAGGGTTTCTGGACCAGCGCTGCACCAGTTTTGTCCTTATCATCCGCGATACGCCGCTGTTTCGTTGATGAGATTAGTACTGTCCTGTGACAGCATGGGCTACTTAACTAGAGTTTTCTGAGCTGTTTTGCTGTACTTTTGTTCAGTGAAGCTGTCAGCACATGTCCTTTTATTCGGAAAGCTTCCATTGGCTGTTCCTACAGGAAAAGATAGTGTCAATTTTTTCAAAAAACCAAGTAGCCTGGGCTATGACTGATAGTTTATTACTGAAACAAGGACACACAATGTCATGCAAAGTGCCGCTCTTATCCAAAGTTATGCTCTGCCAGACTCAGCTTCTTGTTAAAGGTCTTGATAGTGGGGTATGTTTGGAGCAGGGAAAACACTAAAACGTGCAGGACTGGGCTCTCAAGAACAAATACTGTCCTAGACAGTGTAATGTTACATTGGTACATAAATTGTTATGTAGGATGCTTTTGCACCAGTTCTACAGGGTAAAAATAATTATTGTGTAGCCAAATGTAAAACAGTTGGGTTCTGCTATTATTACAATGTGAAGGTTGAAGGAACATTTTTGGTGCTATATAGAACCATTTTAATGTGCAAAATATACAAGTAGGCAAGTATCTGAGTCTACAGTCCTGCAAAAAGTGCAAATGTAGAGGTACAGTTGTAATGTGAAAGATGCACAGTTTATTTGCTGAATTTAAACATATTGGGGAAAGAAGAAAACATAAAATTTTGCCTGTGTATATTTCATGTTTTTATTTCAATATGAAATTGTGCAATAAAATTAGCAGAAAATGCCACTTTTAACTGTAACTGTTGTACATTTAAGGGGTACATTTACATTGTTGATGAACAAAAAATGTACCTGCACAGTACCTTTATTTCTAACAGTGCAGGGTGTTTCCTGCCCTCTGCCCAATGAGTGCTGGGATAGGCTCCAGCAACCCCCTGTGACCCAGGAGGATAAGCGGCTCAGATGATGAGTTACTGAGTGTATAAAAGAATGCTACTGCTACTGAGAAGGAGCATTTTTGAAGTGATGTGTTGATTTGATTTCTACTGCCTAGGGCGTTTTCCAGAGAATGATCTCTGAAACTGGTGATGACTAGGTGGTCATGTATTAGCAGTTATCTTCCTTTCATGCTTATCTATACCTGATGATCTTGGGAGTTTGGGAATAAGTGAGGTCTGCCTACAAATTACCCAAATAGTCCAGTTTTGCAAATATGTAAAGAGTTCACCAATTTCTCACTAGAAAAGCACACAACATCATGTCCACAGAAACCAGAACAGCCCGACACTCTTAAGAGAACTTACTCAATGTAGTTTTAGCCATAATTGCTTCAGTGCAGTATTTACATAGGCAAACCAGCACTGCCTAATGTGGCCTCTCTTGTGCACATTTTGTGTACAGAGGCAAATGACTTAAGCCCTGACTATTCAGTATTAGCCCAAAAGGTCTTCTGCAGACTTTGCATAGGGTCAAACATGTCCACAGACTAAACTTTCCAAAGAGAAGAGCATGGGAATGTCTTCAAGTACTTAAAGCATTAGATACAATTTAAATTACAGCCTGTTCTAATGGTGGCTTAAACAAAGCTAATGTGTTCCTGTTTGCAAAAATAATGTAGCACCGCCACTGGAATTTCTCCGTAGCCTTTGTTTAGTTAAATTTAATGTGTTATATGCTGTTGTTTTAAAGGGAGATGTGTGAACGTTTTGGTTGTGAAATTTTGTGTCCTTTTCAGCTAATTAGCTTGCTGGAAGTGTTTTACACTCATTGTGTTACATTTGCCTTTTGATGACCTGTCCCTCATTTCTCCTCCATGAGTTTAGACCCCCTCTCTGCCTGTTGTTTTAATAAAGAGCATTTTTCTGACAGAATGTTCTTTATTTTTGTTTTTGTATTTGAAACAATCACATCAGCTGTAGCCATAGGCTGTTGTTTACAGTAAGTGAAAAGGTCTTATAGTATTGATAATACCATTATTTTACATCCCTCAATTCTTCAGCCTGTAGATGGACATATGAAATTTCTTTAGGAGAAGCAGTAGCTCTGCTGAAGGCCAGTTAGGTGAGAAGATTTTTGCAAGTTCAAATAAAAATTTGCTGATCTCTCATTAATCCTTGGGTTCTTGTAAGCCTACGTTTAATCAAAGTAATGTGTTACTAAACACAGGCAAAGAGAGAAGGAGAAAAAAGCTGAATGAGACTAAAGGACTGGCTAAAGGAGATGTGATCAGGTACTTGTCTGAGTATTTCAATAACATATTTAGCACCTGCAGCTTATCTAAGAGAAAACAGATAGCATGAATAGCATGTATATACATATATGTATAGGATGTATAGTATACACACTATGAGGAGAGACATAAATCTGTAGTGCAGTTATTGGTTTTCACATTTGTTTAATCATACTTTGCCACCAGGTGGCGCCCACAGTTGAGATAAATTACTAAAAAACACAGCAAGAATCTAGACCTCAATGACACCAGAAGTGTTACCACCGACAGGAAAAAGTGGCAAATAAATAACAAATAATAGCACTGATATGATAACATTTACAAAAACAAACAAAAACAAATAAACAAAACATCAGAAATCCCAGTTTAGTAAATCATAGTTGTTCAAACAAGACCTTGAATCTATCTATTTTTGGACATAGTTTGAAAATGCCATCTCCCATAATGAATGGACCAAAAGAAATAGTCCAGGAATCTTTTTGCACTGCTGAGCACTTGCCTTTGTCACCCTGGGGATACACTAAAATAAGGCTCTAATTTAATAACTACATATGAGAGCAAAGCCAAAGGGCAAAAATAGAAATCAAAGCACTCTTTAGCTGTCCAATCCTATTACATTATACTAATGAGGCTATATCTCATTCCTACCAAGTGACCAGAGAGGGCTGAACACAAACTTACTTGCCATATTGCTTAATGCTTTCACTGAAGACTGGCAGCATATATCTTAAATTCGGTCCTTAGATTATTTATATCCCAGTACCTCAAACATACATCCAAACTATCTAACCTTACTATATGCATGATGTGTTCCCCTTTGAGTTTTGTTTCCGCTTAGCTTCCGCTCAGAGATTTTTTTGTGTGTTTTTCACTGTTGTCATAAGCCAAAATGACAGTATGTTTACATGTTTACAGATAATGTAATATAAACAAACCTTAA